TACTATTTTTCCAGCGATCCGCGGAGCCTGGTAGAGGCTAACCAATGTTTAGAGGGATTTAAAACTTTTCAAAACACAAACATTCCAAATATGTCGATACCTGTATTATAACCAAAATATTGCAAATCAAAGAGATATACCAAAACCATAATATGTATAGAATAAGGCCCATTTCTATTATTGCTAAGTTTAAAAAAAAACACAAGTTACCTTTGATGAGTTTCTCCGTGATGTACACGAACCCTTTAGTTCTGGGGTGCAGGACGTACTCGTACTTAGGAAGGTTGGACTTCTCGGCGTACGCGTCGCTTCTTTTCCTGGTGTACTCGGTGAAGTCTGTGCCTTCAGGGAAGAGCAGCAGCTGTGTCCTGTGGCCGATAGACGCCAGATAGTCCAGAACCTTCTTGAGAATCTTTTCGTCCTCCTCCCATCTACGTGTGATGAAGAGGAAACAGCCAGTCTCCAGACCCCAACCTGATAATAACGTAATGAACAAACATCCATTATACATCTTGGTACGTCCGTAGCGACTGTGGGAGCGGACGTAAACTAACCAGGATGGTACACAGGCTAGTACTGGCTAGTACATATTGGTGCCCCATTGGACTATTATAAGCACGGTTCACAACCGAACAAACACATACAGACACGTATAACGTTACACATTCTATCACACTAGTAGGAAAATAATCACTTCATTTCGCAACATCTGTATGTATTTCTTATCAGGGCTCAAAAAACTACTTTCCTGCCAAAGCGTTCAGGCTAGCTTGTCTGGCGCAGGTAATTTTGCATGTTACCTTCACCAGTACAGGTATACAGGCTTAACACCACAAAGCACTATTTCGCGAGTTCTGTGACAGGTATTTTGAAATGAATATGTTTTAAACCCCAGCAGCTCACCTACTCCAGGAACCTTCCTGAGCTCGTTCTTGAGGATGATTTTCTCGTTGGACAGCTGTCCCCGGCGGATGAGGTACATCCAGAGGAACATCCAGTCCAGCCGGGTCCGGTGGTTCATGACCAGCAGGGTTCTCTCTCCAGGCCTGATACTGTCTCCGGTGATACGGACCTTTATACCGTACACCAGCTCTGTACACACGGTAAACAAGGTGACCCTTGCAAATTTATTTCTGTATTACGAATTCCTTGAATGTGTTAATGTGATTAGCAGGTTGGTTGATTATGTTTACCGAAGGAAAACATATTGTTTTTGCTCAATTTCCTCTTCTTCCTCTTCTTCTCCAAACCAAAAAGGTCAATGACCTGAAGCAGACGGCTGTCACCAAGGTAACAGGTGTTGGGTTACATCATGTTGCAATTTTATAGCAGGAGGGATTTAGACTCCTGTTTGACCATATATATATGAATGTGTTTGAGTAAGAATTAACAGAGCAGACCTATGCGAAGGTAAACATTATGTATTTGATTTGCAACTGTTACCTTTCTAGTTCAGTATTAACGTTATATTTATTGTTTTGTCTTTTGAATGCCTTATTTCAGTGTTGATTGGGTTATAGACACTTACTTTTAGGACGAATGGCTACCCAATCTAGCTCCAAGTCTACCTCAGCCATTTTCACGTTATTCCTACCAAACCACCTGTAGACATGATCGCAAAATGGAGGATGAACCTACCTAGTAGTGCCTGAAAAGCAACCAGAAATATTGAATTATTATCATTACAGCCATCAATACAATAAAATGTAGGTTATAAATGCAAAAGAAAAAAGGAAAGGAAATTATTTCAAGCAAAATTTGAGAGCAAGCGAAAAATATATACATGTACCTTACAAAATTTGAGGGCAAGCGTAGCATACATAAGTATAAATTACCATACACCTTAGATATATATATGTACTATATACTAGTATATCTAAGGTCTAAGGCAAGGTAACTGCTAGTGCTAGTATAGACACCCACCACTAAGAAGTACCAGTACCAGGCGATGAGATGGTCCACCACCCATCTATACCAGGTAGGCCGTACCAGCATGAGCGGGAACCACGGCGTCACCACGTACATGGTACCGAACAGATAGGACAGGCAGGCCAGGACCACAAACAATACTCCTCCCACGGGACTCCTCTTCCAAGTCATCTTTACTGTCGCCAAGAGTTGCAGAACTCCAGTCAGAAGCTCTGAGGAAGGTGTCTGATAGACATCGAAACGTAAGCAGGTGAGAACCTTACTGGTTGTGTAAGAAGAAAATTCTATACCCTAAGTATCTTCCAACCTGATGAAATTATTTACGGAAAAAAGGTGTCGCCAAGCTGTAGACGTGATAAAGTGAACAGTGAAACCTAACAACCAAATTAGGAAAATGTATCATTCTTAAAGCGACATTATGTAAGATTTTCACTATTTTAAACATTGTTGTTTTACACATTTTCTTGCGCTATAAGCCTACCTGAGTTTATAATGACATTTGGGGAGTAAAAGACCAACGTCGTTGTGTCACAAAAACGTGTTGGAAACTGCCAACACCTCAGCGCTAGTGCGGATCACGGCATATTGTTTGTTTACATTCTCTTTAAGATCCTCCTAAAAACACATCGGGCCTGGGGAAACTTATTCTGGCGTTATGCTGAGTGGCCGGGAAAGCGAAATAGCAACATGTTGAAAGTTATTGAAAATCATAATCAAGATGAGAAAATGTCAATTATTTATCTAAAGTTATACAGTTTGGGCGCAAAAATCTTACATAATATCACTTTAAAACTCAACCTTGTAAACAGTTAACTTTACCTGGCCGACGTTTCGGTCTTTCACCAGGAGCTGAATGCCCTACTTTCGTATGACGTACCAAGCTGACAAAGCTATTTACGGAACAAAATGCTAATACCTGCGGCTTAACGTGATCCACTACTATAAAGCAACGTTTAAAACGTAAAGGGCGGATGAGTAAATATTTATAACCAGTGTGAAGGCATGCGAAGTTCCTGTATGAACAAGTCAGAAGGAAACGGTTCTGTTTGATATATTCTATAGAACATGTAGTAAAAGAACGCACTTGTTCCGGTTAGACTTCTATAGAACAGTTCTGCATGGAATTCGAACACTCCGAAATGGGAACACTCCTACAATGTCAGAAAGGATGTTTACAGATGTTGGATAGATGATGTTTAACGTTATTTTACCCGAAGAATCTTTAAGATTGGATATGCTAATTGTTTACCAACTTAACCCAAGTACAAGATCAAGACGTTTTCAGCACGGTGAAATGTCCAATTCGGGTCAATGACCTGAGGGTATCCATAAAGTATGCTGCCCCTTGTTTAGCAACACACCCAGAAGACAAGCATGTTTATGTTATACAAGGCCCTGGTTTTCTTCGGTTTTACGCCCCAAAGAAAGAAGTGACTATGTTGTTTAGGTGTATGACGTTCAGTTTAGCCTATCATGTTACAGCAAAAATATTAAGTAAGTTAATGTAATTAACATGAATACTTGTTGCCACAATAGTGTCATACCGACAGATCTGGTTGTATTCGATCTATTGCCCCAGGACTTTGCCCTACTATGCTACTTTCTGATTTCAGACTGGGTCGGCGTGTATGACTGTTCATGGCTTCCTTCGCAACATACCACAACAAAGTCTAGACACAGACAGACTAGGGTCTTTGTTGTGACGCTTTTCACAACAGGTGTTTCATTCAGTGTCAAAGGAATCATTAGAACGAAGTTGTATTTCCGGGTTTCCTTCGAGTACGAAACAAACGACGGCCAGAATAAAACGTAGCTAGTCTTACCTTTCTATAACAACACACAGAACTTACCTGGCGTGGGGTGGGTCCTGTAGAAACACCTGCGCCGTACAGGTACGATGTTTGTCGCCACTGTCACTTGTTGTGCTTCTTGTTCCAGTGTTGTCTACAGGTGAGCCCCGTGACGAGGTTAGGGACAGTACGTTATGTACTGGAGGAGGGTGTCGGTACGCGCAGAAAGTCCCATGCGACATATTTACATGACCGACCCTCCCCAAGGTTAAAATGATTTTTGTATGACCTTTCCCCCATTCCAAAGATGCTATACATGACCCTCCCCATACAGGCACCGACCCTCCCCTTATGGACATTGTACGCTCCCTAAAGATGGCCGTGTGGCTTCGTGTTACAACCTCATTTTGTCAACCACATTTGTGAAAGGTTGTCTAATGGATAGTGTGCGATATGCTGTGTTCACTTAATCAAGGTCCCCCGGATTGTATGTAATGCTAATAGAAAATCCAATACACATTAACCACGTAATGACACTAAGCTGTATGTGGGGAGGGGGTGGGTTGAGTTGAGTTTACACAGATCAATATGTCGGTACTGAAAGGTCAACTTGTACCTGTTCGGCATTTGTCTCACTACTGAGCAAACTCAAATATCGTCGACATTTCGTTCATGATCCCATCCTTAGAAAACCTCTCTAGACCAAACCAATACCTTATATCTTACTGAGTTTATGCCGGGGCTTTTCTGTAGTCGGCATGGGGTAGCTAGGGAGTACATATGAGTCCTGGATAGATTTAACAACTTCATGCCTTTACCTTTATGGATGACGTATTAGAAAGATTTCTTCTTGATGTTGCAAATAAGGTCCTAATTTGCATAGAGTCTACTAGTATTAGTTGTTGATCTTCTCTACCCACCAGTACAAGTTGTCAATCCCTTCCTGCATCATAACCGACCAAAGTCTCACTGAAATATTGATTCCTGCAGTTAAAAGCTGCTATGGGACGCAATACCTATACGGAAAATGAGATATCACAACCGGAAGTTCTGCTGCAGTGCTATAGAAACCCGCCAGGAGGTCCATAATTGGGAACCTGTCATTCGTCATCCACAATTTTTCGAGTTAAGCTGTCCATAGACAGACCAAGCTCCTTGGACAGACCCACGTGCACAGCCAGACAAACGGCATTTAAATGAAGCCTTCTTAACGAAGGTACGGTACCGGCTTCAGTACTAAGACATACGTTGTATGAAATTATAACTTTGAAAAAAAAGCAGAACATGACATGTTCATATATACATTGTAACTCAGTTGTAGCGTTAACGTTTGTATTGTTTTATAGTCTGTATTTCAATGAAGTGACAATTTCGCTACTGTTGTCATTGCGCCAGTACAGCGTTTCCGGCTCTTTCAAACCAAGCCACAAACGCACTATGGGCCAGCAGGTTAGTCCAACCATGCAGCTATGCAGGTGTGTACATGTTGCAATGGCACCTTGCCATGTATGTCGTAATCCTGCCGAACGATTAGCCAACCATGTAGCGTTACCTGGTACGAACCTTGGAATGCCCCCTGCGTGCCCACAGCATGCCCTTACAGCACTGCTTGTGAATGAAACCGGGCGCCGCCCCAGTGTTCGAGGCATGCATCGAGTCTTGTGACTCCTGGCCCGCCGGATGCGCAAATACATTATGCAGGTACTCGGTTATTTGCACTACTCCACACACTCTGTTCTGCCCCCGACGCTCCCAAATTTAAAACACACTTTTCACTGAATTTATTAGCGTTAATGTAAAAGGCAAATTTCTCAGAAGAAACACATTCTTTGGTAGTACATGTAACTACACGTATGTATATCCACGGAGGATAACATCCTTGGTATGTTAGCTAAAGAACGTCTTTCACTGTCTTCGACCTGAAAGCGCGCGAATTTCATACCGACCAATCAGACAAGCGCAGGCAGGTAGGCGCGCGTACAAATGTAGTAGCATGCGGACAGGTACACGGGCAGGTGTAGTACATGCTCTCTTCACGTGTTACACCACTGATGGTTTAAATGGCGTGCTCGTGCTAGGGTTTTCACGTGACTGTTAAAACCGGGTACGAAATTCAGCCAGACAAATACATTAGAGTCTTATTCCGAGCAACTGAGAGGACAGCCACCAGCGTACAGTAAGTAATTTTGTACTTTTTTGTTGAGGTCAGGTACTTAGTGTATATTTAGCTATTCCTTTGTGGAAACTCTCACTCGTGCAATACTAAAGAGGTGTAATGGCGACATTATTGCATTTTGCTGAAAGGATAATGCCGTACATGTCAGAATCCTTCTCACTCGCGTGTCATTTGGAACAAATAAATTGAACAAACCCCTATCATAAACCCTGATAGGCTGTGTAATAGGCTGTGTGCAGAATATTAACTTACTACTTACTTCTCATCAGTTCTCTCGAATCCCATTTTGCATTCTACATTAAATACGAGTGATCCCGGTGTTGAATTAGACCATCAAGCCAAGCACAATCAAATTGTTTCCACATTGATACGAAGTGTGCGAATTTGTATCCAAACAGTTGATGGGCAAAGGGATTGGTTTATTGGAATTCACACCAACAGCTTAAATAGTTGCACAAAGCGCACTCGAAGTTCGAATTTGCTTTGTCATTGCTCTACGGTGAAAGAGAGAGGTGTTAGACTACATGAGCCTATGCAAACACAAACGTATATCATGTCCCCTGGCTATAATAATAATTAACCTTGTGCGCATTGTGGACCTTGTCCAATCAGGTGATGTCGTGCAGTGCATGCCCCCTCTGCGTGATAGCGGGGGATTCCCCTTGACGCCAGCCTTTGTTAAGTCGGCGCACCCTTCCCACCTTTATTGGTTTAACACCTCGTGCTTTTTTCGTGACATTAGCAAGATTGATATCCTGCATCGCAGGATTTGGTGTGGGCGTTTCAACACTGTATTGATTATCACCGATAGCGCTATAATTTTTGTTGCTGTCATATTCTTATGGCAGCTAATGAAAGCCATTAGAATATGGTAGCAATAAGATATAATAAAGCAGTTAACATAAAAGATGTCAAAGGTCTCACTATAAAGCTTGCTATGGAGGTTTGATAGCGATCAACTGTAATTGATATGCATCTTGGTGTTAACTGAACATAATAAACATGGGTGACGTCTTATAAGGCCAACTCTATATCTTTTCAGTCTGTTATTTTTGCATCCTTCAGACAGTGTACATCGTCTGTACTAGATTGGACCAAAGAAAACAAAACATGAGGCCTGCCAAGCCCATACTGGTGATCACCATGCTGGCTGGACGGTTGAGTGTGACTGCCAGCACGGACACTAAAGCCAGTCCCGTCTGTCCTCCCGGCTACGGGTGGGCTCCAGAGCTGAGCGACTGTATGGACTGTTCCGTCTGTGACACTATGCCCAAGACATCGGGCTGTCTTGACTGCAAAGGTATTGGGCTTGAATATAAGTTTTTATTGACGAAGTGTTTTCATCCACAGATGCTTCTACATTTCTCTGATTTGTGTCCGAAATCATTGCTACATTACATTTTAAACGGTCCCATCAATAGTTTATGACACAGATATTTACGCCGTGGTACTTCCTCATTTATCAGGCGAAGAAGAGCCAGTAGTCGTCCCAACCGAGAGCGGTTTTCGGCAGGTTAAAGCACAGAGTGATGACACAGCAAACTTCTATCAATGTCCCAACGGATACGAGTGGTACCCAGACATCGGTGACTGTATGTCCTGTACTGTCTGTGACGACATGCCCGACACCTACATCTGTGATATGTGTGCAAAGGGTAAGTCATTGGGGTAAACTTTTTAAACTCAAATTTCTAACTTACTGTCACTAACATGCATAGATTGGTACCAGACGTCGACGCATGAGCTAAATGTTTTCCTAGGGTGTACAGCTACGTAAACGTTGTAATTATCGATATCGTTAGTTATATGGCGTGTAAACCCTAGGCCTCCAGAACAGTCTGTATAGTAACGTTTCTCGTTATCGATCTTTTCAGACTCAAAGTCTACCCGTGCAAGGTTTCAACCAGGAGTGATTGCTGTGATTGCCATACTGACCATGGTTACTGTCTGCTCCATATCCCTGGCTGCCTGGTGCACCTGGAAGAGGCTTCAAGTCGGTAGAAACAACGGAGGTAAGCTTGTCAGAGAAGAAAACTTACATTGACTTAAAAATTGAAACGGGACAGGTCGATGATTGGTAAAATATGTACAATAGACAGAATTTGCAGTCGCAAGGCATCGTTTTCTTACATAGATTTTGTTTTCTTCCTTATTACCCACAGATGACACAGATTCCGAGGCTAGACAACCTATTCAGGAAACGGCCGATCCGGACGAGAGAATTTCAGGCATAGAGACCGTCGTATAGAAATGTATCAAATGGATATTGAACTGTTAACTGGTATATATGACGTACTTGTGGTTATATTATGTCATAGAAAGAACAAAATTGCTCGAAAAAGGAAAAGGATGTATTGTTAACCCCGTGTACTTGTGATAGAGTATATACTGTATAATTATTTTGCTGTAAAAATATTTAAAGTTGCAGCTGCTTTGTGATCAAAAAGAGTTATATCATCTTAATGTATTACTACTTTACATTTATAGATATATATGGGGTATCAATGTATCAAAACACATATACTCTTCAATACAGATCTGATATATTATGGAATGGAAACATCTGTGGTCTGAATTCTCTCTGAACAAAATTGCTCGAAAAAGGAAAAGGATGTATTGTTAACCCCGTGTACTTGTGATAGAGTATATACTGTATAATTATTTTGCTGTAAAATATTTAAAGTTGCAGCTGCTTTGTGATCAAAAAGAGTTATATCATCTTAATGTATTACTACTTTACATTTATAGATATATATGGGGTATCAATGTATCAAAACACATATACTCTTCAATACAGATCTGATATATTATGGAATGGAAACATCTGTGGTCTGAATTCTCTCTGAAGTTCAAGGACTTAAATTATGTAATCTTCGAAAATTTATATTCAACAACGAAAGAGGATAGTCTGGATAGTCATCAGTTTCCCTTGCTCTGTTGCACATATAATACGCTAGTGTACGTTGGGGTGCCAGCAATACTCCACACTCACAGCAACTAACGCACAAGTAACATACCCCTGTCACGTGATTGCGTACCACGTGATGTTACGCATGCGCGTTAAAGTTCGCCGGTACCGGCCGGTACAGGTCGTGGTCCAACTTCAGGCCAGTGTGACTGACGGCTCGATCAGTAAGTGACGATATTCAACTAACATAACTTTTTATAAAGTTTACTTGTATTTAATTTACCGATGGTTACCTGCATGTGATATACAGCCTTGCATACCACCTGAAATCGCGTACTAAACCATATAGCCACAAGTAGGTAAGTAACTTGACACTAGTTTACAATTGTTTTACCTCGCTTGCCTACGTGACAGCAAAAACGTGCAACCCATTCGGCGTACGGGGATTCCCCTGGCATTGTGGGATATAGTGTGGCTGATGTAATCATGACTTAGCGACTTTGATTGCACATCGCCCATCGAAAAATGAACAATTACACTTCATTAACTGATTCAGTGGCTGTGTTTAGAAGAGGGTCACTATCATAATAGAAATCAGAAATTTACCATTCGTGATTGTACCATACCATACAGTATACTAGCCTCCTGTGCAGGCCCCGCGGCGGTGGGGAAGAGGTTTTAACGCGTTAGCCGGCCATCCTACATAGCCGCCGAGAGAAAGTTCCATTCCGGAAAGCAACCTTCTTTCGGCGGCTATGTAGGATGGCCGGCTATATTAAACTAACGCGTTAAAAACTCTTCCCCACCGCCGCAGGGCCTGCACAGGAGGCTAACAGCATACATTTCTTGATACAAATACGATGATTGTTGGTCAGGTGTTGTTACGAAGTACTCACACTGCACTGGCAGCCAAGTTGGCTGAATTATACAAAGTGTTACAGATTAAAAACTTTGAGAACACAAGTTACGTACAGAGCGTAGTACTTAAAGTTACTAGTAATCGTGGGTGTTCACAAATGTCAAAACCTTTGAAATACGCATTAAAAAGAACGGCATTGACGACTGTAGTTCAAAAAGTAACAAGTTCCAATTAGATATTAATGGATGGGTCCATTAAAAACAGAGACAGGCTATTTTCAGATGCTTATTGCTGAGGCTTATTGCCTGAAAGAGGAGGGATTCATCTGTGCATTCTGCAGACAGTAGATGAAGCATGCCTTTATGACTTTATTTTTATAGGTAGTATACGTCAGCCTTTGAAACATCGGTGGATTTGGGAGCCGCAGAGATCAACATGAGGGGTGCTGTCCCATCAGCGCTATGCGTCTGCTTGGCGACTGTCGCCATGGCAACGCCGGCCCCCTTCACCTGCCCCCGAGGTCATGTGTGGAACTCGGTCGTTAATGACTGCATGTCTTGTGACGTGTGCGAACATTCTCCTGCCACATCCATCTGCGGATCTTGCCCAGGTTATTGAATTTTCACAGCATCGATATAGTAGAATGATATTTAAAAGGGCTTCTCTTGATTTACGTTCGACTTGGGTATTTAATATTATTAGTCAGTCATCAATGTCGGATGGTTAGTGTACTGTGCACACACCAGTTTATCATATTCACAACTAACGTAAGGAATTGCTGTTACAAACACACATGTATGGGTATTTTTTGAACATCAAAGGTTATCGTAAGAAGACACTAGTCTCTGTTGTTGCTCATTTGTACTGTTTGAACTTGTCATAGGTGCCATGACGCTTGAAAAGTCGGTGGACGATCGACCTGCGAATGAGCCCGTCTGTCCTCCTGGTTTTGAGTGGGAGCCTGTCCTGAGCGACTGTCTAACGTGCGATGTGTGCGCCAGTGCACCTGATACCAGCATCTGCAACAAGTGTTCAGGTAGTAGCCATCATCATGACTGTTTATCCCACAATGTATAATAAAGAAAGATATAATTTTGAAAATATGTCATAAAAACATTTTAGCTACTACATGTATGTGGTGGTGTGTATCATGTCCACGTTGTTGTAAAATCGCAAGCGACCTCGAAAAACAAGTTTATTAATTGTAGCTCCTTAGCAAGTTGTTATAAACAGACCATTTGAGTTGTATATGGCTGCTATATACAAAGTCCATTTGCTGTACAATGTTCCCAACAACACGTGAATGACTTCAGTAATTTACTACCTGTGGGTATTGAGTCAAATGTCACTTAAAAAGTGATCTCTACATATGGATATGCCTATTTGCATGTGCATCATATACATCGTATTCTGTTTTAATATATCAGCAAAACAGGGACTTAGTGCAGGAGGGATAGCCGGCATTTCCGTGTCCTCTGTCGCCCTGGTGTTAGTCCTGTCTGCTGTGCTCGTCTATGCAAGGAAGCGGTACAAAGGTACAGATAATCTGATGACTATGCCAATCAATTGTGTACTTCAAGTCACATGTTATTTGTAGGGAGCGAACTTCTGTCGTATGTCAGGACACGCTTCGAAAATGTCCAGCATTATGAAGAATTGGTTACAGGACAACTTCTGACAATGACATGATTCAGTATGCATTTGTTTTACAGAAAGACAGCTGGGATATCCAATACAGACTACGGACCGGGATATGGAAGGGCAGGCAATCGTAACCCAGTAACATTTGTGTGAAAAAAGCAAACCTTGCATACTAGTGATGCTATATGTAACAGTAGAGCTGTGGATTTCGTGGTGAATGAAACACTGCACTTTTGTTCGTTTTTGAAACTAGGAAAACACTGAACGATCTACAAGGCATGTAGTAAGGAAATTTTACCTTTACTGACTTCTTGTTTCTCAATATGTGATTGCTTCGTCTGAATGCTACATTTAGCAGGATGTAATGTGCACTTTTGTCAACTTTCTCGACATTCGTTTGAAATAAAGCTGCGGGTAAATCATCTCTGGTGATCTTTCTTGATTAATCGAGTCTAGGAGAAAAGGGGGAGAAATGGAGACAAAACTGAAGAAAGGTTTTGAAAGGAAGGGAAACTAATCAGAGACAACATACGTAGAGAAGGCAAACATCTGTACATCCAAATCAAGTATACTTGTGAATGAAGTGAGAGTAACCTAAATATTCCATGCATGTTTGCAACCCTTGTGATTTCTAATGTCTGTGCGGCCATTAGATACAATGCAGGACCTCTATAACAACGTTTAAGAGCATTTTAAGTTTATCTGCAGTTACATTTACTTGTAATTCGGCTCTGTCCGGCTCATTTCCGCGCAATGGCTATTGGGAGTATTTACGCGCGTCTCGGACTTTCACGCGAGACCGAGAAAGGTCAAATTCAAATAACATTTGACAAAGGTCAAATTCAAATAACATTTGACCTTTACATGAAAACCTGAATGTCTAATCAATATAGAAACATATCCATGATAAGATATTTAATTCATCGTTCTATAGCATGACATTGCACGTTTCACCGGGTGTCATTCATAGTCAATCGACAGATTTAGAAAAAAAACATGAAAACCAACCTTCTTCCTTTTTATTAGGCCTTGTGGTTAACCTAGCTCACGGGGTACCTGCCGGATGAAGTTCTACTTCTTAGCTCCAAACCTTTCTCCAAAGCGAACGAGGCAACTTGTTTTGTTCACCGGAACATGTCGGGTTCTGGACTCGCGGGTAAGCCGTGTGGGGCATGCGTGCTGAGGGACGTCCCTGCAAGATATAAATAGCAATCAACGACATGGAATTGTACGACACAGCCAGGTGATTTCCGTTGTATCATGAGGTACTTTTGGCTCTACGAAGGTGTTTTCCGAGTGACCAAGTCGTCTTAAAACAGGAACTATGAGTCAAAGGCTTTCGAAACATCTGCTGTGTCTCAACTGACGTTTGGACGTCATGTCTTCATTGTATTCAATTGGTTTCAAGATGCCACGGTCAGTACTTTGTTGTTGCATCGTATCTATGATAGTTACTATGAAATGTTGGCCAATCACAGCACGCCACATGCACACGCCTTGTTCTTATGGCGTCCAGTGCAGTTGTTTTAGCTCGGAATGATTCCATCATGGCCGACAGAAAGTAGTACTACCAAATTTTCGCGTCCAAATAACTGAAAGGTTTTCAACTTACCAAGTTGACTATGATCTGATGTACGGATTAAGGAAAGATACTTCATGTATCTGCAATCTTTAAGTTCCAACGTCCCACTGATCTTTCTGCAGGGCGATGGCGGATAGCTATAAAACGTAATTACAGTGATGAAACCTGGTGCGTAACTCGTCTATCGCCATATTGTGGAAACGCCTAGCTCGGACGATGAAGCATGCGCCGAGAGTCATGGCCTTACCCTGCGGGTCACCTTCGCTTTGTGATTTCAGTAATTTGGTGGCCTGCCATTCAGTTTCTTTCACTGTTAGTTGTTTTCAAATATAACCGCCATGGCTGCAGAAATAACGGGTAAGTTAATGAAGGTAAGCTCACGATTGTGCATTTTATACGTTCACGAGTAACGTTATTTTAACTACTTAAATTAAAATAAATTACTTATAACTTAAAAATTATTATCAATAATAGCGACGTCGTTTTTACCCAACACTTTGATGAGTAACATTTTCGTTAACAATACGGTCGCTACTGTCAGTAGCACCAAGTAAAAGACACCATTCTAGTGGTACTTTACACTGGCAAACAGGAACTGTTTATTATCTTGGCCCCATGAAGTTTGTGTATACTCTTTGAGCGATGTCTTTAACTTTATTTTCTTGTAACTACCCGAGACTTAGTCGACGTCTGTTGTGTTTGAAACAAACTAGGTGACTCATTAGGTATTTTCCCAGCGTCAGGTTGTTTTTGGGCGGGTCGGTATCAGGAAAAAATCATGTGATATGTTTCGGGTCATAGTTAATTTGAGTAAGCATGCTAAATGTTAGCTTTATCAACCGTGTAGAATGAATAGCTGAGGCATGGCGTTTATCAGCGAGAAACACGGGAATGGTGGATAGACGACAATCTATGATGATGACGAGCTACGTTAACACAAATGGGACCGTGACCGTGCAACTTCATTATACGTCACAAAAGAGGTAGGTTTTGTGGTATGTCTAAAACCACCAGTGGCTTATTGCGACCGCCAGGACTAATGAATAATGATAGTTTATATATGTATTGTTTCTGGTGTTTCATGTTTTAATTTTTATATCATCAGTGGGCCAGCCGAAAGGTATAGCCATGTATGTGTTGCAGAAATGTACAGTTTGATTGATGCCACATTGAGCGTAGCCTCTACCAGAGTAGAAATCGGCCAAATCGAGAGATATGACATGCCAAGGGAGTTGCTCCGCTCTAGAGTACAGTTTGCCGCTCCCGAGAGCATGTTATCTCTCTATTTGGCCGATTTCTACTCTTTCCAACCATCTCCCGAAGCCTGCTGGTAGAGGCTACATTGAACGGTGACCCAATCGGCGGGGAACTCCGCGGGAAATTTCCCATTTTCGATCGGCCCACTCGGACGGCGCAGCAGAGTCCTGAACATTACAACAGTTACAACGGCTTGAGGAGGGACGGTACCGGTGTGGCACAATGTTCATATGAGTTCAGGTGAGTTATACCTCAGTTAATATGACTGGGCGAACCTGCCAAGGTAGCTACTGTTACTTATACCGCCTCTGTCTGTTTCAGTTTACTTCCGGGTTACAGTAAAGGCTATAATACTGTAGCTTGTGGTTGTGTGAGTGCTCCCATATGTATGTGAGCTTGATCTAATGTATGCAGGTCTATCAATATAAAGTCTCAGATATACATAGTGTTGTCCACATATTCAGTGCGTTTAATTGAGATCTGACACGCGAAGTTACTGTAACTGAGGGCATCGCGCACCGTACGCTCCAGGGGGCGTATGGCAAATCGAGTCCCTGAAGCTAAGCGAATTGTGCTTGAGTATACCATTCACTCCGTGCTCTGTCGTTCAGTGTTCAATCCGTCAACCATATTGCATTGGGCCTCCAGAGAATTAAGCCTGTCAGGAAGGTCCAAGTTGGCCACAGGTTCAGACTTGTTTCTGTCAGGCGCAGATGATGATGTCACTAGCCTGTGTGTGTCATTTATCCTATGTTTTAGCCACTTTCTACCATTGCTTTTTCATTCCGTGGCTGCAGATATAGATTATCGTTTTTTGCCTACCATCCAATCGGTTAGTTTAGCGTTTAGAGTATTTACATTAACTTCTAACCAAAATGTTTCTCTTAATTACGAGTATTATCATCGCCCGCTACAAACAAGTCTAAGTTGCATAGAACGATGATACAGGTAATGTCCCCCAACGTAAGGGAATTCCCCGTTGCACAGTGAGGTCACTCAGAGCAACTGACCTGTGATCAACAATAACAGTCAGAGGAATTTGCTATCTACCACGGTGACATGCCTTTGGCAACTCTGGACAAGGGAAAAGTACTGTCTGAGTCTGAAGGGAAAGTACACCGCTAATCTCAAAATAAAATAGCCTTCGGCTCTGCAGCAAGCTGCGGAAATCAACTTTCATTTTCAGTATGACGTGGAGGTGGGTAGGGCCAAAAGTTTTAGAACATTCTAGAACCCTCACCAGGGACTTTCCAATCTAATCCTGAATCAATGGATAGCTAGCGTGGGGACTTTCCACCTGTTGTGGGGCTTTCCGATGGTTGCGTGACCAGTCTTCCCAGGATGCAAGGCGTTGTTTGTACATGACCTTTACCCTTCTCGTGTTTCTACATTTTAAAAAGTATGGCGCAGCGACACTTTACTACATTGTACATAGCTTTACTTTTATGACCCAATTGAGGTATAATACATTTGTTAGCTGAGACTACATGTCTGGTGGTAAAAATCCAAACCTTCGATCGTCATTCCGACAGTAAGCGTTGACATATCCCCGCACCCCGGATCCCTGCACGGCAAACGATAGTTGATCGTATATATTTCAGCAGTAATAGCCTCCTTCGCAGACTTGTTGTTGGGTGGTGGCGAGAGTTTCGCCCCCACTCTCTCCCCGCAAAAGTCCCTCGGCGGCAAAAATTTTCCCTCTGTGGCATAACTCGCGTCGCTCACCGAACAAAATAACGCCGCCTCCCTACAAGTCTGCGAATGAAGCTAAGCAGCAAAGGGGCTTCTACAATTTTCCGGATTCCTACGTCCTTCAGGTTTGTACTCCCCATACTTTTCCTTAAAGTCACTTCATGTTTTATTTTCTATTGATATCAATGCTATAATACTAGCAACAGAAACTAATTACACAATATACCATGATCATTTTGTACCGTACAGGGCGTTGCGGTACTTCAGAGTTATGTCAAGAGGAGCAGACGACGCAAGGTTGGCAAGGGAAAATCATGAAAGACGCACTATGGCTTTTTAAGTACCACTTACAAACCTGGGAAGTCAATTGAATCTACACCTATAACGCAGATGCCAAATACCAGCCCTTACTATATCCAGGACGGCTAGTTAGATGTAGAGGACATGGGGCACATCTGAGCGACGGACAGACATCCATCACGTATTCAGTACTTACGTATACGTATTACCACTATGTACTGAATATGTCATGATTTTTATGATTTATTTGACAAAGTAGTAGAAAATTGGTTTATACATCACGCTTACTGCATATATTATATTTCTTAGATGATTAACAATGTAAGTTATTTTGATTTGAGAAACGTTTAATTTCATAGAGACGTGCACTGAATTTGAATGAAGTATGTAGTCATGTCACTTTTTCTATTGAGGCAAATTTCTGAATTTATAGTTATACTAAATAGTTTACCAATCGTCATAATGTAAAAAAAAATATTTCATGTTATCAGAAACTGGTCTTCGAGGAATCATTGCAGACCGACGCTGCAGACCAACTGTTTGAGGGGCATATTGGGAAGGAGTGACCTCACCTCTCGCAAAAAACTTGCGGTAAGATGAAAACGAGACATATATCGTTCCATAAGTGATTAATAGTTGACTGATATTTCACAGACCAGTAAAATACCGTGCTGATTGTACGTTCTTGATTTTTTTAGATTTCTAATCTTTCATTTTTTTAAACTTGCCTTGACGAGATTTATTCAAAGAACTGATATGATTGCAAAGTGTAAAACAGGTCTTTGTCACACATCCAGACAAGACTTCATACTTATTTTTTTTTCTTCAGTGTCGTATTTTGTATTTTACTGAATAACTCTTCTCCGATGCATTGAGCCAAGATCCCCATGAATAAAAAATGTATAACGGAAACGCATTTTTTAAAACCAAAATAGTCTCCAGAACTATCGTTCAGTGTACCGTATACTATATGCAGGGGGGTGTAATTGAACCTCGTTGCTGTATCGGACTCGGTCACTAGCCTGTACCCGGCTTCGGGAGGCGCCTTTAAAGACTAGAAATTGGCCAATTAGAGAGATAACATGCCGCGGAGTTGGTCCACTAGAAGAGTACAGTTTGCCGCACCCGGCAATTTCTACTCTTTCCAACCGCCTCCCGAAGCCTGGTAGAGGCTATCGATGATCACTTACTAAACAAAAAAAGTCCCGCCACTGGTCACATGTTGTCAGACCACGTGGTAGTCAGGATGAAAAAAAAAAATTAACTGAGCGGCCAAGCTGAGGAGGACCGTAGCGTGTGACGATTTTGAATACCACTTGACTCCCAGTCGCCCCAGAAGTGAAAGTAAGGTGACTAACCTTCAACTGTCGACGTATCGTGCCAGGTAAGGCCACCCCCCTACTCGTACAAATCGTACATTCAGATTTGTACATGTGCATGTACATGAAACCTGACTTCCGGGTTCAACTGCAGCACATGGTCGCCATGTGCAATTGAAAGTGTCTTTGTTGAACAAATGTAGACCCTTATGCTCACTGCTGGCCCAGAATAACAAATATTGAACCATGTTAGTAGTCGGAGAACACACACCAAATTTTATAAAGTCAATAATATAATCATAAACTTTGATATCGATTTTAAACAAATTTTCTGTAAAGTAAATTTTCTAGCCTTGCAGGAAGTTGAGGAACATTTACTTTGAGACTCTTACATGCCTGTTCACCGAAATCCCTATGGTTATCACACACCAGTATAATGTTTTTGGGAACTTGAATCAAATCATTAGGAACCTTGAGCAACTGCATGTACACTGTATTATTAAGGGCCATGTTGCTCCGAAACTGTGCCAGGCTGATTCATTAGGTTCCCTGTTCGAAGCAGCCTGTGTTTTCGGTAGCATCAAATGTCGATTTACCCCGGTGAGTACAAAGAACCTAGTCCCTAGACGCTATGTAGCGATACTATCATTGAAAATACGCTTTGTCATGCGATGCCTGAGCAAGTACCATGTATGTCTAAAATTAGGCAGAAGTGCAATGCTACATTAGATCTTTATCTCAGTGTTTTAAAAAGCGGGGGGTAACTTTTATGATAAAAAAGACGTAGACGTCGGTGATATACGCGCATAGTACGGTCAATTCAACAATCTTTCAGTTTCGAAAAGCTTGTCATCCGGTCTACTGATTCGGTACTCGGATGGCCGCCAGGGGGCGCGATCATATATGATTGAACAATTGAAAGTTGATATGATAGCCTGGAGTCCGGTAACCCAAGCTCCGGGTGGCTCCCTACAGGGCCGGCTGGATGTTGGGCGGCCGGCAAAAGCGATTTAATCAGGCTACGGCTTTGTAATTAGTAGCGGATTTTGTGTACTAGATTTTTGGGGAGCGAACTATTATTTTTTATATTAAGCTAACAAGGATGAACTCTAGGCCAGTGGTTTAAACCTCGAGCTCAAGACGTAGGGATAAGGGATGGTAGTGGATGGGAGTCTTCATTGCATACATTGTATATGATTTGGTGCAATTTTTATATGAAAGGCCTAAAGCAAGTGAATTTTATGACAGACTTCACATGTAATGCGATAGGGCGCAGACTCCAAACTCCGTGCTCTATGCAGAGCATAGGGTTTGGTGCCCATGTCCATTTCCGTAGCCCTTGGGCGACACACAGTTGTGCAAGGCACTACAGCAGGGGGCTAGTCCGCTGGTAGTGCTGTGTGTTTGACCTTCCCACACTCTTTCTCATATGTGACGAGTGCTAAGCAGAGAAAGAAGTGTGTACCATTTTTTAAAGTCTTTGGTATAACCCGGCCTGGGTTTGAACTCACGACCTCCCGGTTACAAAATGAACACTACTAAAAAAAAAAAAAAAAAAAAACAAGAGATGATACAAATGTACCTATATTGTGCTATGTTTACTAGGGTAAACCCATTGGTCACTGAAACAACTTTGAAAAATAATACCAGTGGGAACATCTCATGTATAAAAGGAATGAAATACATCACTGCATCAAGGTAAAAGACAAAACAATAGATTAGAGCCTTGTCTCTATATTTATCTACCACCCTCGTTCCCGGCATGGCAACAGACATCTTTGCCCATTCTCGGCATGTTGACCACTGTCAGAGGGCAGCAAAATTTTTTTTTTTTTTTTCAAAATCAGGTGCGCCATCATCCATAACAATTGCTTGCTGTGGACTAATAGTAATAATTAACGTTAATAGTCCTTTTTCTGACGGGATTTTCCACTATCTTTGACACGTTCTATGCTGCAACAATCCTCTCCGCTTCAAAACTTGAGACGCACGGCGTTGTACACTCTCCAAGCAGAGGTTGGTGGGGAAGATTGTTACCTTTCTATATATGGCCCGTTTTTTTCTGTTGCTACCCCTACCGTTACCTCTGCGGTTTGTCGCAGCTTCAGATCTTCTCCACCAACCTCTTCTTGGAGAGTAGGCGTTGTTGGCCATCAGTAGCCAGGTGCCGAGGTCGCTGGAATAAAGAAATGCTGGAATAAAAAAAGTTTGGCAAAAAAAGTTGCTTTCATTATGAAATCTACGTGGTCAAGGAGGTAGAACAAATGACACAGAGTATGGTATGGCGAATACTAGTAATCTAGTTGAAATTCATTTCTTTACATTTTCGTCTTTTTCATTAAATTTTGGCATTCTACGCCATTGGTATCGTTTTCCTTTTTTTTGCAATTTACGGTATATATTTATTTATTTATTTATTTATTTATTTATTTATGAAGATTTACCACATTTGTGGAAGGATTGACATAACAGGTGACTACCACCTTTTCAAAGATGTCAACCCCGAGACCAGGCTGTAAGGTTTGAACCACTCACACCGGGAAGGTCCCCTACTCTTTTCGATAAGTGCGGTGGGTTCTTTAACGTGCGTGGGGTGTGACTCTCCCAAACACGGGACCTCCATTTTACGTCCTATCCGAGGGACGTCCCTAGCCAAAGCTAGGTACTCATTTTCACCTGAGTGAAGTGAGGAAAGTCGTGTAAAGTACCTTTCCCAAGGGTACAACGTCGGGGCGCATGTTCGGACTTGTTCGGGTACGACCCGGAATCGAATTTGCTCATTTTGCAACTGTTTTGTACGATTTACAGTATGGTTGAAAACTTTTTTTTTGCCTTTCGCGCGCGGATGTCATCCGTAATCAAATCAACATAACCTTACGGCAATGCGCATGCGTGTCTGTTACTTCCGGAAGGTTGTTTTCGGCGCTCGTTGGATTTGGACATTCTATTGAGGAATGTTGTCCTAAGATAGGAGCGACTTCTGTATCTGGTTGTGATAAACCTAATGTATTAAGAGGTGAGGCTTGTAGTTTTCAAACTTTGAGCTTGTATTTTATATGTAACATATTATTGAGAGAGGCTACTTCCTGTCGCCATCTTGAAAAGGAAAAGAGCTAACTTACATGTACATGTACGTTAAAAAGGCTAGCATACCACCATGGTAAAAGCAAGGCGGTTTAAGCATAAACAACGACTTGCAGTTTATTTAACTATAAAAAAAATAGTGGCCACAACATTTCAGCAAGTTACTCAGTAAGTTGAGTTTTTAGAAAGTATCAGAAATTGTATACGTAGCCAAAAAAAATACCTTGCGTCAAACTCAAAGTCCACCATGCACCACGGACATGATGGAGATATGAACTGCAAGTGAAACCCAGCTCCTAGAGACCACGTCCAAATTAGACAGAAGACAAGGACAACAGCAACAACAGAAATATAGTTATAAAGGGATGATCATACTAGTTGTTGAAAGAAAGTTATTTAGTAGTAGTTATGTTCATAATTTTGTCCTCTAAAAATCCAAAATGTCTAAGGGAGGGTCAAGGTTCATTTTTTCTACAGTAGTCCGAGTCCAAGATGGCGATGAAGTGGTAAGGAGGTTCACAAATAAGAATGCCCATGCCTAGTGTGAATGCCCTCTAGAAATGCAAACAAGATACAATTGTCCTCCAGATGTAAATGTATGTAAAATATCTAGAGGACTATGAAGTAAGTAATATAATAAAGTCAAGTCAAACTTCATTGTGCAACAATTGCATTGGGTACAATATATGGCAAATAACACTTAATAACACCAAAAACAAGAGCTCATTTACCTCATACCTTCATCATGTATGAGTTTGGGTTGTCAGAAATGTGCCGTTGTATATAATTTGACCAGGAAGATTAAATCCTTGGTTTGACTTTTATTTTGCTGGTATATTAACCAAAGCATGTGAGTGGTTCCAAACAGTACGAGCATCTGGTCGCCTGAACTACCTAGGAACTAGAATAGTGGTGCCATCTAACCGTACAAACATCTGTCTCACCCCCTCCCTCAGGGGGTTTGAACGTCTGAACACTGAAAAATCAAGACCATAGCATGTCCACAGTGAGATATCATACCCATGTACCCAACTGCAGTACCTTACAAATCTGCTGGAGTACCCAAAATTGACCTTGACCTTCCTTTTCCCAAGCTCATCCTACCTACCAAATATCATAAAGATACATACATCACACCCCAAGTTATAGCCAATTACAAAATCATCAACCCCTATGTATGGTGTAGGTAAACTTAAAACCTTCTGATGAAGGTAATAGAAGTGAGGGATCCAAAATGCACCACCACATGTAATGCTAGTGCAGCTGTAACTGTGAGATTGCTTATATCTTTTAAAACTTCAGAAGGTTTTTAACTGAAATGAATTAGAAGAGGGCCTGCAAGCCCTTTTTCGTAAGGCGTAATCAGGCCGTTTTAGACTTCGTAATTCGTAGGCAGCCTCCACAAAAATCAACGTAATTCGTAATAGGACATTAGCCGCAAACCGTAAAGTCGTAATCAGCTCTGAGACTTTAACGTAATTAGTAATAGGCGGCGAAAGTTTTGCGTAATTCGTAATCACTACCCCCCCTTGCAGGCCCTCTTAGAAGAACCAATGAGGACAAACTAATCAGGTCTTTTATCCAATATCACATTATCAGTTAGATACTAGAAAGTTCAGGTGAATTGAAATTTCCATAATAAGATATAATGCTGACTAAAAAGAGGAAGCCCAGGTATGTTGTCAAGTGGCAAATAATGGGAGAACTGAGAAGAAGAACTTCAAAAAGAGGAAGAGCAAGGAGAACCGTACCAACATCTGGAATCCCATAGTATGGGATTCCATATAGAATTATACCATGTGGGATCCTGTGATCATGAGATGTAAATGATCATATATTGAAATTAAAATATCATGAATTTTTTTCATAATGAGGCCTTTTGTGTGTTGCATGTTGTTTTGTTCCTCTTGCTCTTCCTCTTTTTGAAGTTCTTCTCAGTTCTCCAATAATTATTTGCCATTTGACAAATACATGTACCTGGGCTTCCTCTTTCTAGTCAGCATTTTTATTTGAAAATACTGTACAGACCTGAGTATGTGACTGTTAGTGTTAGGTAGTATGTATACAAATTGTACTAATTTGTATTGTCTCGCAAAAGGTTGTGCTGTGTTTTCTTTTTTTTTTCAGCAGTGTTTTGAAAACTTTTCTTAAGAAGTTTTCTTAAGGAATTCTCAGGGTCAGGGATTCATTTGAAAAACAATTGTCACTTTCCTTGCAGGTTTGTTAGATATTCTGGTAACACAAGATGCCTGGATATTCACGTGAAATCTTTGAAGTCAGGATAGAAGACAAGTACCTGTGCTCATCATGCCGCCTTGTTCTCCGGGAACCCCTCCAGACATACTGCGGACATCGATATTGCAAGTCGTGCTTGGATGAAATCTTCAAGTACGTTAACATCACAATAAGAAATGTGATCGTCCATGGACCCACCCATTTGAACAGGAATCTATCGTAATGCTTGGAGTATCAGTAGTTTTTGAGTGTTAAAATTGAGTATGATTGACATTTGACTTTATATCAACTATTTACTCCAACAACTTCTTTTTTGTGTGTTTTACATGTAACTCAAATTGATATTTTCTGTTGCAGCCTTCCTAGTGTTCAGATGTGCAAACAATGTCCACAGGATATGCAGTCAGAAGACTCTGTACTAAAGAGAGATCAGGTACTACAACTTGTATAAGATGATACAGAATGGAGGGAATTCAAAGTAGTTACAAGGGCAGTTTGTACACAAAAGTTTGAAAAGAAAGACAGACTGTACTACTATATGTTTTTGTAGACCAAGACAATGTGATTATCTCTTAAAACATGCTAGACATGTACAGGTATTAAGAAAAATGTTTATTGTACTAATTGTTACAACTCCACCTCTTTGAATCTGATGTGTGCACTGTAAAGCCCTGCAATAGTAGTATTGTTGTATCGAGATGTGTGTGTACATACTAGTTGGGCTTCAGTATTTTCAGTTGACATTAACTGTTTCTTTTTCAGTCAGAAAAGTTAAAATGAAATAAGTGTTGCCTTGATGACCACAGAATGGAGAACATCAACATCGTGTCTAGGAAATGTACAAAGTCACATAAAGTATAGTGTCAGTAGCTGTTGGAAACAACTTACCTCAAAGTCGGGCGTGAATGAAAACATATCCTAAGCTAAAGTATCGAATATACATGTACAATGTATAACAATGGTGGCATCACAGCAAGACAGGTGGTCAAAGCAAAGCAGTCAACACTCCTGATATTGAAGAACACGCCTTTGTAAACTTAATGTACATCTTCACATGGAAAATTTTACCATTCAAGCTTAAAGGTATGTATTTTAATAATGATATCAGATCCATGGTACTGCAAGCAACCATTGCAGATGCAGACATTAGCCTGATAAAGCACATCCAAAGGTGGTACATGTAGGTAATGATAAAAGGCTGCAAAATAATTATTTTTGGGGTTTCTACCCTGTTTCAGTGTCTTTAAAGGACTGTGTTTTCTTATTACTAGTAGACTTATGGCATAACCTGTTGATATATTGTGAAATAAACCTTTATTTTGGTACCAGATTCTTGAATACCTTCATGTACTGCCTTTAGTTGTTGTTTACATGTTACTTCTATTTCTTCACAGTCATGACACTTGTATTATGTTTTAATTTAAATCAAGGCATTTCCGGACAGAGCTATCAAGCGAGACATTGGTGATCTGCCTGTTAAGTGTCTAAATGCAGGTCTGTGTGAGTGGAAAGGGAAGGCGGAGCAATTTGATGTAAGTACATGTACTTTAAAGATTCAAAAGCAAATGACACTAATGTGTTCTGCATGCAGGTGAAAAGGTACGTTCTGTATTCTGTGACTATTAGTGGTACTAAACCTTAATTAGGTATGATAACTGCATAGGCTTGGACCTTTACCCTGATAACAAAGTTTAAACAGTATCAGGAAGAATATCTTCCTACAACTTACTTAATGCATGAAAACAAAGATTGCAGATGAAATATCTAGAAACCTACTTTATTTCAGAGGTGAAAGAGTCTCTAGAAACCTTCAATATATAGCTGGTAAAATATCTAGAAACCTTTAAATTTAATTTTGCAAAAGAAAGGATTTGACACTTTTGGCTACTCATCAAGTTTCAACATGTATATAGAATACAACTTGATTTGGGAACAAAAGATTTCTGATATGGATTCTTTAAGCATTTTCTGTAGTTTTTCATGAAACTGACAGAAGGTTTCTACAGAACAAGGGGAGTCACTTTTTCATTCACCTACTCAGAGCTATCCTACAGCTTGCATCATGCCTTGGTTCAGTTCTGCTAAATCTGGCTCTCTTTTGCACTTTCTGTCCTCTAACCAGCAGTCAGCCATCAGAGAATTGCCCAAATGATTTCATTAGGTAAAGCTGATTGGCTTGTGCCAATGAACTTTATAACCTCCTTGCTTTCTTGCAAAAAATGTGAACATTTTACCATCCTGCATGTCTGCCATGTAGAAATTTGTAATATGGGCACTGTTGTACGTGTGCCAAATAAGCATTGGTCCACCTATTTACCGTAATACACAGAGAAGAGGGTGAAATCTACCAGAATACACCTGCTATGATGAGTTAACATCAAAGTTGCTATATTTTGGCTCAAGATAACACATACGTGGCCCATGTAACAAGAAATCACTAGAATTTAGAAATTTCTGACTGGCATTCAGTTGCCAGTCGCCATGTTTGTTTTCATTGTGTTTGTTTAGCAGGGTCACAATGAGAATTTAGCTAGATGTTAAATTTACCAAAACATAGAATGCTTTGACACATTAACATAACAGGTTGCTGCATTATGGCATGAAATAAAGTATATATGATCCTGGGAACATGAAATCATTAAAATTTCCTCCCACTGCCTGCCACCAGTGGAAAGTGTGTAGACTTTCCCAGCAGAGTCATATTCTGGTACATTTCATCCTCATTTATAATATTGTGTGTTTTGTTGTATTCTGGTAAATAGGCAGACCCAAATAATGCTTACTCACAAGGTAAGCTCCTTAATATCTGTACACAAGATTGCAAAAGTGGGTCTGTTTTAAAAACAGAGCAGAACCAAGGTACATGTTACCGGTATGTACATGTATGCCATAGGATGGCTCAGCATAGGAGAATGCTAGGTTGTGTTCCAAACTTTCTGACAGCCTGTGATATTGTAGGTACATAAACATGGAGAGGAAAACTACGCATTGTCTAATGTCTACTCATAGTAAATTTTTTTATAACTTCCTCAAGCTCCATCTGTTAATTTCTGTAGATCTAGATCAACTACTAAGTACTTTTGACTTGTACTACCATAAAATCATTTAGTCAATTAGTTTGCAGTACAGAGCTTGAAATACTGGATGCATAGGTTGTGCATGCACCTTTGTGCACCCAAAACTATTTTTTAGCTTTGCACATTTTTGAATCATTGACCATTATGTCAGTACTCAAAGTAGGGTTATGTACAACAAAATAATTATTGCACATTATTATACAAAATATTCTTGACATTACTAGTTCTGAAGCTCTGAAGAAATGCATAAAGATTTGTAATTAGGTTTTGCTGACATTCTACAATTATGAGATAAGGTGCACTGGTCAAAAACTGTATTTCAAGCCTTGCTACAGCAGACAGCATCATTGTGGTAGGACTCTAACATGAACACTTTCAGCACAGTGGTACCATGGACAATTCTGGTGTTGCTCATGATGCTCCAGGGCTCTCCCTTAAAGCAATGGAATAATCAATGGTGCTTCTCCACTTTTTTATGATCTTGCAATACCTTGTCAATTTTCAACTTCAAGCATTTTTGCAAAAATTTCACTGTTACTTGCCAAATTTCCCTTCTTGGACTAACTACTGTGACAGCACCACCTAGCTCTAATTTTCTGGGGAAAGCCCTGGCCATTGGTGCTTGTAACTTGGTGGCCATTTCCAGTCATGGGCATTTGCTTGATATGATACACACTCTTACAGCATTCCAGTGACTCACTGACATTGGGAAAGTCATGCTGAATACTTACTGCCAATGGAAGGTGCAATGATTGTTGATGGGTAGGACGAGAAAGGGTTGCTGCGAGTCTTTCGAACAACATTTCGCTTCCATCCATCATTGGCAAGATCCTTGGCAAAAAGTCTTCACTGCCTCATAATGCTTCTTATACTAGGATACCTCCAGAGTGCACACCAAGAGTTGGGGCAGTTGCCAACTGGCAAAGTCACAGTGACAGCTTCAAGAAATGTCTCTAACAGCTCAGTCGAGAACCTCACAAATAATTTTAATCCAGTTTATAAATGTCAAGAGATTCTCACTACAAGTTCCTGAGGATTTGATGTCCTAAACTTAGTCGTTTCTCTGACGTGATCTCAGAATCCAATTTCCGTGAAGGCATAACAGTTGGATTAAGGGGCGATAGAGAAACATCATCAGTGTTCCCAGGGACCAGTGGAGGAAAAGCTGCATCCAGGTGCATCATCTTCACAACCATGACAGTATGGGCTTCACAAGGAGCTGTCAGTGGTACCATGAGCAGAAGGCAAGAGGCTTCTAGCAGATGAGCCGCCAGTGGTACCATGAGCAGAAGGCAGTGGCTTCACAATGAGGTACCAGCACTGGTCCTATGGGCAGACAACAAGGGGCTACAAGATGAGTGGTACCATGAGCAGAATTAAGGCACTGGCTTCACACAATGAGCTACCAGAGGTCCCATGGGCAGAAGGCAAGGGGCTACAAGATGAGCAATGAGTGGTACCATGAGCAGAAGGCACTGGCTTCACAATGAGCTGCCAGTCAGTGGTACCATGAGCAGAAGGCACTGGCTTCACAATGAGCTGCCATTCAGTGGTACCATGAGCAGAAGGCACTGGCTTAGCTTCGCACACTGACCTACCAGTGGTCCCATGTAATCTCCAAGCAGATCTTTTGGTGGGGGTAAGACAGTATCAAATTGGCCAGTCTGTATCCATTTCCCCACCCAAGAGATCTTGGGTCACCATGGGCAGAAGGCAAGGGGCTTGAAGATGAGCTGCCAGTGGTAAGCTGTTCAAGGCAAGAGTTCTCTCATGCAAGAAATGAGCCAAAGGAAAATGCTTCATGCTCCAAGCTGCAAAGACAACCTGAAACTGATGATCAAGAGACTCAACACTCCAGATGCTGCCCTTAACCAACCTGATTGCTGCACGCTGATCAGCTGAGGCATCAACTGTGGTGACTGTGGCTGCAGCACCATTGCTGACGACAGCACACTGCCATGCTGTACAGTAAGGGAGTTTCACAGGTTTTGTGTGCATTCTACAGTGTGGATGCCAGTATGGTTTTTATGTACACTTGGTGTTTGGTATCTTAAAACAAAACATCTTGTGGAGCATGATCACCTACAATGTATCAAGTTGTTGGGCTAGTCCAGATCTGCTACTGGTGATGAAATATAACTGTTAATGTTGTCTTTCCTTGGCCAAATAGTACATTGGTCCATTACTAGGAATGCTATGAAGCAGTCGAGGTCTCGAGAATGTACTGAGCTCGTATGTCTACCTTGGTCCTGGTTGTGTAGGAGACCTGTGGGGTATCATCTGACGTCTTGTTCTGGTACAGTCATGGTATACTGTGCTTACATAATGTATTTCAGAGGAGTCCTGTTGTAAGTGGTTGTACAACAGTGACAAACCCATTGTATATGTTATACTCATCCAGAAGAAAGGGAAAGTTTGGTGGTTGCATCTTCTCTCTTTTGGCAGCTTTAAATTTATCAAACATAATTTTTTTGGCAACAAAAGTCCTCAGTAAATTTGTGACTTTTCCTATTCACCCTTGTTCGTCACGGAGGGAGTCAAATCTTCAATGTAGAGAAGGCTAATATTTGTGAGAAAATAGAGGATGTTTCCTTTCCTAATGTCACAGATGATGTTCAGTGGCTTTAATTTTTTTAATATGATCATGGTAATGATTTATGTTTTTGAAGAAAGGAAAAAATGAATTGAAACAAAAATTAGGATTGGTTAATTTTTGGCACAGGAATTCCTCTACTAAAATAATGGGAAGGAAGTATTCTTGCAAACATTACTTTTTACTTCTGTAGCATATTCAAAGACAAAAAAGATAGAAAAAGAAGAAACAAAATGTTCATAAGTTTTGCTTTCCTTCCATATTTCTGGTTTTCTACATGTGTCCTGAAGCATGAAATGATCTTACTGTGTCCTTTCACCATTTCATGTAATTAGGGTCTTTCCTGTATGCAACAGTTGTAATAGTAATACTTGTACCAGAAAGAAAGAACATGAAAAATGAAGTGCCCTCCTTGCAGCAAAATTTTTCTACAGGATATGCCAGCTTGTTATTTGCAGTTTCAAAGAAAGCTGTTAGAGACTCAAAATCTTTTCACTTTTGCCAGAGACCAATCTTACCCAGAATCCAAAAATATTGATTAGGCCTGGGAACAGTAATGTTGTGTTTCCCAACCGACCCCAGCAAAAATCAGCCAATCCTACCCTTTTATTGGATTGACTGCTGGTAAGGACATGAATAAAATTTTTGATCTGACATCTGAATTTCAAACCATCTGAATAGTCTAAAACATCATTGCATTTTCAGAAGTTTTTTCTTCAGTAAATCAGGTGAAATATTCGTTAACAAGCAAACAGGTGGACAGGTCCTTGTGACATTCCTGATGCATTGTTAAAATTTATTTGTTAGCTCATTTTGACTCTTAAATTGAGTCCCAACTTACTGATACTAGTTTTTTTGAGGACTGAAACCAGAAACACAACATTAACTTTCCTGGGCCTTATACCTTTTTTGTAATCTTAAAATAAACAAACTAACTAGCTGACATTATAAAACAAGTAGTTCAAGAAGGTGACAATCCAAAACAGACGTCTTCTGTACTACAAAATGTATGTATCAAAGAAAAGATGCCAGGCTGGTCGGGGGGGGGGTGATATAACTAGCTGTCCATGAGATCTGCCTGAAATATAAAGAGCATCTTGATAACAAAGAAAGATGAAAAAGTGACATTACTTTAAAGGCAATTGAGGGTCAAAAAATTCTGAGATGTGCAATTTACATTCTGAATTAAAACTTCAAATGTTTTTTGTCCACAACCAACAAACCAACCATGACAATATCAAAAAGATTGTGAGAACACTCAAAAAGTCTTTCCTGTACTGTATTATTGGCTATCTTGATTCACACAGCCTTACCAGAACCTTGCTTCTTTACAATAACTGTCAGAGGGCTAAAAATTATTTTTGCCATCACTTCGTTGACTTACTAGTAGCACTATCCTGTGCCAGCTCTATTCTACCTAGCTATCTAAGTGGTAGGAAAACAAATTATCTATGATCCAACATCCTAATAGTCGTCTTGTCTGCACGAGTGATGTCAGGACATATTAAGTGTCTATTGTTTGCTTCAGGATACAATAACACAAAATATGCCTGGCCTTCAACGACACTTACACTGCCAGGGTTATACTAACTACTGGGATAACAGACATAATGATGAAGGGAACTTAATGATGAAAAAGTTCTCGTAGAATTTACAGTTGTAGGAAGCAAGCCTAACCTTCAGATGTCATGCATGTTCTAGCCATTTAGATTGTACTTGAACTTCTTTTTAGTCAATAATGCATTGTGTAGAGACATCCAAGTTTTGAACATTTCCGTTTGGGTGAAGCTTTCTCACAGTAATCAAAGCCCATATACAGTATTAATTTTATAAATGCTTGCCTTCAGTTCAGCAGTATGCTTATGAGCTTATCATAATCTTCTACTAACTTTGTTAATCTTTTAGGCAGCAGTAGAAACTAACACATGTAGCTTGTTTATTATTTGCGCTCTTTAAGTTTTATATTGCCTAAGATTTTGCTTATCCTATTAGCAACTGAATTCTAATATTGTCTTGGCTTCTAAAGGTTGTTCAGTTGAAATGTCCATCAAGCTATCACATCCACAAAGGGAGTTTCTTCCTAATGTAAAAGTTAAGTCTGGCCAAGGAACCATCTTTAGTTTAAGAATGTAACATTAACCATTCAGACAAAAATTTGGAAACTTGATTCCAGTCAATCATATCTCTGTGAATACTTCATTGTGGTATACATCATTGGAAAAATGAATCAGACGTATTCCTCTCTATTTTTGCATTGTTAACTCTGGCTCAATGTAATGGTCAATTAATTGGTACCAAATACATGTTTGTGTAGTACAAGTCAAGTTCCAAAGTAGTACTGGTAGCAAAGATATTATTAATCAAATCAAGTTTCCAAACTTTTTGTGTTGAGTGTATACACGTGTTAAAGAAACTGTGTACCATCATCCACATTTAAAAAAAGAAAAAATTGTGTTTTCTTCAATGTCCAGGCACACCAGGAGACCTGTGAGTTTGGCCTGATTCCATGCCCAAAGCAAGGCTGTGGCAAACAGGTGATGCGTATGGACCTTGCTGCACATCTGGAAAAGGAGTGTGCTGTCAGACAGGTCAAGTGCAAGTACTGTGCACAAGAAATACTGCTAAAGGAGGAAAAGGTAACATTTCAGGACTCTCATTGATTTAGGATTGTCCAGTGAAGTGTGCAGTGTCCTAGCTGTTTTTTTTAATTCTTTAGTCATACAGATACATGATCTTGAGTTTCTATACCTCTTTCTTTACCCAGGACCATCATGCTTTCATATGCCCTCAAGTTCCAGTAAATTGTGAGTTTTGTGGGAAGAAGAAGATACCAAGGGCTCAGGTATGTTGAATAGCTCAATCCAGTTTTAATTACATAGTATGAAAAGCTATCCATCTGCCTAGGGTAAAATTCCATTGACAAATTTGAATGATCGTAATTAAGATCAATAATACCATTCCAAGACAGTACGTTTGGATACTATTACTAGTCGTCATTGGTTTGTTACTCCTCAATTTTATAATCCAATTTCTAGTGTGCAATGAACAAAGCCCAACTTCTGTTTAAGTCATGAAAAATTGTTAACATAACTTGGATTAGTGTATTTTTAACAATTGGAAAGCCAAATATGTATAAGCAAATGTGTGTTTCAGGTCTTTCCTGCTTGCAGTATTAGTATTTTGATAATTAGCATACAGAATAATGTCAGTAATATGATTGTACTCTTATTTGTTAGGAATCATATTATGTCCCTTGTTCACACCTACATTCAGTGACATGTCTTTCCTATAGATGAAGCAGCATCTGGATGAAAACACTGGGGATTGTAAAAGGCTGAAGGTTTCCTGCACTTTTGCTAAAGTCGGATGTCCCTCAAAGGTTTGTTTTAAAATTACAAGATTTCACTGTGGTTTGTAAATGTATGGAAGGACAGAACTTGTTATCATGGTACAATGCTAGAATATGCAATTACACTGAGAATGAATTATAATGTGACAAGTTATTAATTGCAGCACCACATGTGCAAAATTTCCTCTTCATTATGGGTGATGTGTTTTTGTTTTCTTTTTGTCGATGCTGTTTTTTTTCTAACTTGTTGATAACTGTCATAGCTGGAACGGGAGAAACTGAATGACCACATTGCCAAGCACCATGTGGATCACCTGAATCACCTCCTGGACAAGCACCTGACCCTCCTGGAGGAGTTCACCGTCCTGAAACAGAGTGGGCAGGGGCAACACATGCAGCAGGCAGTCAGCAAGATGGATGCAGACATGAAGGCTCTGTTTGATAGAATTGCTGCCATGGAAAACTTGGCTGCACAGCAAGGCTCAGGAGTAGGCTCAGGCTCGGGGTCATCAGAGGTAACTAAAATGCTTGAAAATCGCTTGCAGCAGATGGCTAGTAAGCAGGAAGAGATGAGGCATAAGTATGTAGCTATGGAAACTAGGGTTGCAACTTTTGAGGGCATCGTTGCTGTCCTCAATCGTGAGATTGAGAAGTGTTCGGCTACCATCGAGGCATACGAGCGGCAGCGACGCCAGGACCGAGAGATCATAGAGTCCCTTGAGCGCAAGATGAAGTCTCAAGAGCGAATCATCGCGCTGAAAGACGTGGCCCTCGCCGAGCAGGATCTCCGTATCACATCCCTGGAGATGACTTCCTATGACGCCACCCTACTGTGGAAGATCCAAGACTTCACCAGGAAGCGCCATGATGCCATCACTGGTAAGACCACCTCAATCTACTCCCCTTGCTTCTACACCAGCCGTACAGGGTACAAGATGTGTGCTCGCATCTACCTGAACGGAGACGGGATGGGGAAGGGCAGTCACATCAGCCTGTTCTTCGTCCTGATGAGGGGACACTTCGATGGGCTGCTCCGCTGGCCGTTCCGTCAGAAGGTGACCTTCATGCTGCTGGATCAGAACAACCGAGAGCACGTCATTGACGCGTTCCGCCCTGACCCAACCAGCTCGTCCTTCAAGCGTCCAACAAGTGATATGAACATCGCCAGCGGCTGTCCGCTGTTCATGCCGCTCAGTCAGTTGGAGAGCACACGCCATGCCTATGTCCGCGATGATGCAATCTTCCTAAAAATCATCGTGGACACGTCGGATTTAAACTAAGGGCTGCCACCTTGCCACATCCGAGGGGGATGGACAGAGAGAGAGGTACACAGCTGGCCTGTTCGGCCAAGTTGCTCAGGGCAGAAACATCAGAAATGTACAGTATGTGCATCATACAGATGCCAATGAAGATCTGCAATGCAGAAGTAGGCTTCTGTATCAAGCAGATCAGTGGTTACATGAAGCAGCAGCCAAAACAGGTTGTCTGTAATTTTGAAGGTGTTGGCCATGGGTTGGTCAAATCCATCAGTGATGTTTCGTTCAGGCCCTGGCAATCGTTTTTATGTACGTTTCTCTCTCTGTCCATCCCCCTCGGATGTGGCAGCTCACAGGTGGCAGAAATCTCACACCACCAGGCATCTCGATATAGAACGAAGAAGAAATGCGTAAAACTTGTAAGGAAATGTTTATTTCGTAACTGTGCAATGCACTCTGTCAAAGAGTGTCAGCATCATCGTGATGCTTTTCACCACTCCAAAGACAGCTATGCAAATTTATCAACGTGGTATAAAGAAAATATAGGCACTTTTATCATCTTGGGGATACCTCCATTCCCTAATTACAGTCCAACACCAACAAAACATAAATTATGCGTTACACTTTTAGCAGAATATAGCTGTGTAAGGCAACATATTACATCAAGCGGCAATGTTTACTCAATTAAAGAGCTGTATGAATTGCAATGTATGTTCATAAGATGACATTAGAGTCCGTAAAGTAACAGTATAGCATGGATAGAACAGTATCTTGCATGTTATACTGTTCCTTTAAGGACTTTCTTCTTATGGACACACAAGCTACATTGTATTTTTTGTTGAGTTTGCATTTTAGTTTGACGAAATCTGTTGCTTTGCATTGGCACATTCTGCTGCCAGACCAGGTTTCATTCTTGTTAAACAGATTTTTTTGGAAGTGCTTCAAAAGAAGTTGTTAAACTAAGAATGGCATTGGCCTGGATAGATGGTACTATGTGAGGTGCGTCCCCGTCGCGGTACCGGTAATATCCTGCCGTTCTGATAGGGCTTGACTATCCGCCATCTTTCCTTTCCAGTAATGACCAAAGTCATCCAAAGTAGTACCTTCCTAGGCTATTAACTGTAACAGCCATGAAGTTAAACTCACTTAAACCCTTATTCAAACTTTAGTAGGAAAATTGTGAGGTGAAGAGACAAAATGTAAAGAGACAAAAATCCCTCTCCTTTCTCCAAGACCTGTAGGATGGTCAGCATAGCGGAACCTCACCAACTTTAATGTCTAACAGTAGTAGGAAAGAAACACCCCTACTCCTAAGTGTGGGGTCATGTGGTGTAACCGTAGTGTTCGGCTCAGACCCAAGAGGTTCCGGGTTCGAATCCTGCCCAATGCCACCGATCTTGTGCCCTTGGGAAAGGCACTTTACACAAATTTCCTCACTTCACTCAGGTGTAAATGAGTACCTAGCTTCTGTTAGGGACGTCCCTCGGATAGGACGTTAAATAGAGGTCCCGTGTTTGGGAGAGCCACACCCTACGCACGTTAAAGAACCCACCGCACTTATTGACAAAGGTATGGGACCATCCTGGTGTGAGTGGTTCAACCCTTACAGTCCTGGGGTCGTATTGAGGTAACCCGAGTTAGCGCCGAATGGCAGCCGCTCCAGACCCTTGCGATTAAGCCCCAATACATGTAATTGTAAGCTACTCACAATTCAGCCCTTGGCTGGGAAAAGAGAGTAGCTGGCCCACCCAATACAGTACAAATACAAAAAATACATGTAACCAGATTTATGATGTTATAATCATACTATGTATGTCCATTGGAAATGTAAGGTACTTTTACAATGGATGGAAGGAGGTATTCCCAATGGGAAAATAAATTGTCCATTTTGCTAGGATTAGATATATGAGGATGATGCCACTTTTTTGTGGTGTTCCTACACTCATGTATCAATATAAAAGAATGGATCTTCTAAACAGCACAAGAAAAATTGTTATGGAAAGGAATACTTCCAGACAAAAGGCATGATGTTTACTTTGAAGGGAAAAACTAAGGAAAGAAAAGACCTTAAGCTTCACCTCTGTTCTGTTGTGAATCTATACACACTGTCAAGCTAGTTTGGAGTTGAACAGTGGTGGATCTGATCAGATGCCTGTTGGTGTGACATTTCTTCCACCTGTTGAGTCCACTGTTTTGGGCATGGCTACCGCCGGAAGTAGGCATTGCTGTTAGTATTATTAACAAGCAAGCTCTCAAGGCATCAGAAAGTTAACAACACGTTGCACAAGAAGATAGGAATTCATGATGATATCACAACAGTCTACAATACAAAGATTCTTTCCTCTTCAAGCCTGCAACAGCTCTACATGAGAATGGTACCAAACAAATGGTACAACTACAAGTACAACTGCTACTCAAGCGTGAACTCAAGAGTTTACAAAAAAACATTAAAAAATGTCCTCTCTCCTTTATCATTTGTAATGGAGAAGCTAAACATAGATCATCATCAATGATCATGAAAGGACATATTGATATCATTATACAAAATATAAAAATAGAACTATTGTAATCTGGCCCTGCTTTATTGATGATTGTAATTAATGTCAAAGAATGATTGATTGTAAAACCATACTGTAAGTTTTCTGTTAAGGCAGTACTGGGAAAAGTGGTCTGCAACTGGGAATCTGAAAATACATGTACTACTGTAAACAGCAATGGAGAAGATGGCCATAAAAAGTGGTCTGTGACTGAGAATACTGCTGTGAACACACTGAACAGCAAGGGAGAAGATGGCTATGAAAGTTAGTTTGTGGCTAAAAATACTGCTGTGAACAGCAAAAGTGAGGATGGCTTTGAAAGGTTGGCTGTGAATATATTGAACCTTGGAGGTAGAATTGAGCAGGCCTGTTCAATTCTACCTCCATGATTGAACAGCAAGAGAGAAGATGGCTGTGAATGGTCACTGAGAATAGATTGAACAGCAAGGAAGAAGGTTGTAAAAGGTGGGCTGTGGACAAGAGCAATAACAAGAGAAAAGATGGCTGTATAGACCTATTTAAGGAAACTAAGAAGCAAGTTACATAGACGTAGTAATATAATTAACATCCTTGTACTCTTTGTATGTATTGCATAAATGATGTACAAGCTATATTCTTTATTCAAATACATTGTATGTCAATAATATACTTGACCATAATGTTTGGGTTACTAACATCAAGAATGACCACTTTACCGTCTTAGCATGCACCATGTTACCGAACACTAATCTGTATGAAAACTTCAGTATGGATATCTGACTGACATGAGCAGTACCAACTTGCTCGATGTGTAATGTTTTCTGATGTCATGTCCTGCAGTTGTAGTCCAAAGCAGGGGAAACTGGTGTCGCAGCCCTTAGTATGCAACAGTTGTATGATTGTACACTGCATATTGAGGAACCAACTGTGAGTTGGGAAGGTTACTTTGAGTTGTTCTTGGTTTGGTTATTACTGTTATAGTTTGGACCAGTTTGTTGTTGTGGATTGCTTCAAGTTCTTGTGATTGTGGTTATGATTAAAACTTTTAGTAGTATAGAAATATATATGTTAACAGCCCTTAAGCTTAAAGGATTGCAAGCAATGCTATAATAAAGTTTAGCTTATTAGCCTCAATTTATTCAGATAAAAGCATGTTGTGAGAGCACAACTTTGATGGACCAAGACCTATAGTCATGTAGTCACTTTGATTTGATTAATTGTTGATCATTCCTTACACTGCACAATGTATGCATTCATTGAGTCCAATGAGAAAATATATATTTAAGAAGACATAGTGTTGTAGACAGCTGGTTGTAGAGATACTATTACATGTCATCTTGTCATGTCATGTGATTATATTGTAGCACGCGTTGATGTTTCTTGACAATAAACAATGATGCAAAACTGCAAATCGTGATTGAGTGAATGGTTTAGAGAATGGATATGAAGTTGCTTGACTATAGACATAGTGGTACAGCGCCATCAGGCGGAGTACCAAGGAATTGCTTCCACATGACTACCAATCAACGCAGTTCTACAGTGGCGCGGAGAAAATCGGACGCACGTAATTATTACAAGGCAATGCGTCCTAATGATATCAAATGTACAACCAATTGGATCAGATACGTCGTTTCCCTTTTCTAAGTAATAGTTTCAAATTCTGAAGGGAAAAATGTAAGGTGAGCAGGTTTGCTTACTAAGGCAACTTAGCCGTCGAAATCTTTATACACTGTACTTAGTAATTCGTTCTTAATTGAATGCTTGGCCCTTAGGTCGACACAATCTTTTTTTTTTCAATTAACGATGACAAGTATATGTGTCGACTACATCTATTCTACCATGCCTAACGAGTTAACGTGAGGAACATGAGAGCTCCACTGCGTCAGCATTTTGAAATACATATGTCATGTATAATGTCACAAAAATACCTGACATTCACTTGTCTGTAATATTCACTCGTCTTCTCTGAGTTTATTCATGGAGGTAGAAAACCTCCATGGTTTATTGTAGGGTAACTAAAAACGCCAGGTGGCGCAGTTGCACGGAACAGCACCACGGATAGGTTTCTATCCATTGAGAAAGAACGACTCTTACTCTTCTTCGCTAACTCTCCCATTCTAACGCAGCTAAATAGAAATGCTTGCAGAAGATAAGAAATCGTACACCCCAAAGAGTGACGTTGAGCAAAATGTAAGGTGAGCTCGCCGCTGCGTCAGCCATTGGACAACAAGTTTGTTTACCAAAGGTCACGGGTTGCTTAGTGAAACAGGTCCGGGTCGCCACAGTTGAATCACCTGTATAATCACCTTAGTGGGAGGAACTAACTGTCCCGAACAACTAGATAGCGCGACTATATCTCAATGTTTCGATTTTTAAAAATGGTAATCAAACGTGAATATCTTATCATAAGAAAACTGATATAAAAACATGTTTCTTACTAATTTTTAGACTGTAGCTTTTGTGGCAAAGTGTGGTATTTGAGAAACGGATTGTTACCTGATTTGGGCGATCATTCCTGTTTTTCACAGGTTCCCCCATTGCTTCATGAATAACAAAACCCGGCCCACTCCAATATCGTGTGGTGGAGTTAGGTGTCGACACACCAGTTGTAGTATGGCGGCCACAACGGACAGACTGATTGGAAAATTTGGCAGTTAACCGGATTAAAAACTTGTAAAACCCTGCTTGATTTTGGCCCATAGGGTGGTGATTTTTGCCATGGCTGCTACGGAGAACAATATGACGCCGACCAAAGTGCGCTGGAAGGAACCCTCGCCTGTTACATATGGGAAGGTGGAAGTCAAACAGGTGGGACAAAATTCCTTCTGAAAGTTTTTCTCTCGAAACGTAAGCCCATTCATAGATTATGAATGTACAATACGTATTCCCGTGTTGCTGTTATATTGATCAAGAGTATTTGTTTTAATGGTGTAGTCGTGTAACGCAGAAAACGTCTGTGATTTTTGCTCTGTCACTTGCTACTGGGCTTTAGTAAGTTAGACAGGTACATGACCGATTATACATGCAAAATCGTGTCTTGCATGTGTTACTTCTCCAAGGATGCAAAGCCTGTTTGTAGCCTTGGGGGACGGGCGTACAATTAGTCGTTGGAATGCGTGAGCAGGCATATACAATGTAAAAACATGTATCAGCACCAAACATGGCCACCACAGCTCACATTTGAGAACCCTGTCACGGGTAGATTCTCAACCACCTGTCAAGAGTTCCTGACCCCATAGAGTTGAAAATAAGTGCCAAAAAAACCTTTTACTCTGTACAGTCTAAAGCGTAAAATCCCCGTGCTGCATAGAAAACCATGACAATTTTATCAATGGCTATATCTTACTTTAAATCCCCTTCAATATCCCATTGCCATGGAGTTTGCCCTGTGTTTGAATACGTATTTCGATCATTAACTCGGTTCACATTGTCTGTCAGACACCATTATCCTAGTCCTGTAATTAATTTTAGATAAAAGCTATTTTGTCACAATCATTTTGCAAGTGACTACTTTGTGTTAATTGTCCAGGGAAACAAACAAAACTGTCCTACTTTCGTCTGTTGTAGTAGTAGCGGCAGGCATATGCCATGAGTGACTAGTGTAACACTGTGGTTGTTGAATGTTTAACAGGTAGAACATAGCGTAGTGCCTCCCGGTTTGGAGAGGGTCCAGTCCTTCGGGAGTGAGTCGGAACTGGACATCCACCTCGCCTCGTCGCGAGCCAAGCGTCCCCCGGGTGTGCCTCGGGGCGTCCTGGTCAGCTCGTCCGCCGCCATGATGTCGTCTGACGGTAACATCACCCCCAGAGACATCGAGAAAGCCGTGAAAACCAGAGCACGACCAAGAAAAGAGTTTGAGGTACGCTCTATATGAAACACGTACACAGTGTTAATTTTACAAGTTGACTGCGTGTTGGGACGACATTTACTGCGTGTTTGCTGTCCTTTGTTCCTTGTGGAAGTTTTGTGTGCTTCCGTGGGTCCGAACTTTACACACGCACTCAGACACCTGACATGTTTTTGTAACACTTCGCTGCTTTGTTTAACCAGCAAACAGCTTAAGCAAAGGCATGAGTATGTTCCCAGCAAAAAGTACAGGGGAGGTCAGGGCAAATAGTGCACAAAGAGATTGCCCTAAGCCAGTTTGTGGTCCAAAATATCGCACGAGGCTTAAAATAAGGAGAAACAAGTTGACAAATCATCACCAAGGGCATTTGAAATCCCCTTCCCACGGCCACGATGTTTTGAGTCTCAACATGCTCAAAAACGAATTCCAGAAACGTACAGGCTGTTTTGTCCACATTCTGAGATAGGTGTGTGCCGTTTTGGACTGGATGTCTTTACTGTGCCCTATATCGTAATATATCAGGTAGTCTGATTCTCAAGCGAGTAACCCTTCTTATGGCCTACATCTACCCAGATAACATGTATCTTAATGCCGTTGTGATTGTTTAATGGGGCCCATGATCTGTTTAACCAGGACTAGATTAGAAATAGAAGCTCGCCCGACCGAAGAAAAGCATCCCTGTATATATCAAAGCGGGCGCCCCTTAATGGAGAATTTTTTTTTAGTAGTTTATTTACAAAACATAGCAAAGAAAACATCCTCATTGTGGCGGCCGTAACATCTGAGCACATTTCAAGGACAATACGCCTGTCAAAAACCTACATTCCTTCATCTATTGTATGCTTCAATCATACTAGTGGACAATATAGTTCGTATTCAGAATTGGTTAGCATCAAGTTTAATGTTTCTTGTTTGGTGCCTGAATGTGAGTCTTCTATGTCTTTCGACGCTGTTCAAGATCATTGACAACCAACACAATGTAGTCACAGCGACCAGTATTGAACACCACACTCTTACAATTAGAACTACTGGTCCATTACCACTGTTGACAAATTACCCAAGCTCTACATTTTTAAAACCACATACGTTGTCAGGAAAATGGTCTTCCGTTTACGAATGTCAAATTCGATTATAACTTTGTCGACTACAACTGTAACTAAGTCTTTTTTATCAGAAAAAAAAAACAGAGAAGTTTTTTACTAACGCTAAAAGTGTGCAAGTTGTTGAATACGAACATTTGAAAGCGTAAACTTGGAGATGTATATTCTTTCACGGTTTTGAACCCCTACGGAGACGTATCATTACAGGAGGGCAGTCGCCACTACTGTGGCGCGAAGGAATTTTTTGTTCTGCTGCCTCTTGGTTCAGTGCAAACTATGAAATGAAACAGGTGGAGCTGACGTAAAGAAACATATCGTATGTCGTCTGGTTACAACTTGTGCAACATAACTATACGGTGTGAAATCTGGTCGTGTGTACTGTACTCCATGGCTGGTGCGGGGATGGATTATAAAATACCCTGGTTAACAGAAATCAGGGCTTGCGGTAGCCTCCGTAGCAGACGTATAGAACTGGGGGTTTGGTGGTCTTCGGCTGTTTTCTGATTAGCACAGTTAAAAAAACGGGGGTAATTCAACTAGGCCGGCTATGTTGTCTATATGTAATCAGAAAATAGCACATAAAAGCTCCCAAAGACCCCCAGTTTTTGGCATGCTATGGAGGCTAGGCTTGCGGATAGACTTGGCATTACACGTACAGGGCCCGTACAAATCCTAACTCGTGCAGTCTTTTGTTTGGCTGTTCGTTGCGCTCTCCTAGGCGACACCATGGCATGTTAATGTCACCTTTGTCGTTATACGTGTGTACACACAGATTACCCAGCTCTATGTTCCTAGCTTCAGGTGTATTGTACATACCTTAGCAACCAGATTTTAACCGTGCTAGATGGCTACTTGTAGATGATAAGTCTATAGTATTGGTGACATATATGATATGATAGGCTTATCATTATCATATAGCATCGATGTATATTGTCAAGTCGAATTAGCTCCTCAAACTTGCAGTGTTTGTGTAGTGGCAGGTTGAGGAGTACTAGGAGCCCGGTTTATAATCATCTACAGTAACTTAATAAATATACACATGTGTGCTGTATATACATTGTAAGCATGACAGTAATAAAGGGTGAGAATAGCAAGGGTTAGAAAAAATCATAACTTGCAGACAGAAACACACATACTATGTAGTTTCTTTCCTTTGTGCTTTTATTAAAGCAACAGTTCGTGCCATAACGTTATCGCAAATAGGAATCAGGGAAAACGTAATGTGTATGTTGCTACTCGTTTTGCATTTTAGATACACAGAGGCTACCAATGCCACTATGCCAACATTTGCTCCGGTTAACGTTGTGAAGTCAAACAAGCCTGTAGTTGAAAAATTACGAATGTATACCACTTTATCACATAGATCAACCCCAAGCAGGGCAATCTACATGTATAATCATTAAGCGTTTGTTTGACCAAGGTCTAAGTAGGTTTGATAAATGTGCACTCTATACGTGTTACAGGGAACGCCGTTCTTAAGCATAGACAACATTTCTCCTGGGACAGTGTTGGCCAGAGGTAAGGTTTTGAACTCTTCATTTTTCTTTCTATATATAATTTTTTTATCATTATGACATCTCATTGGTGACAAATGATGCTTGATGTATCGCAGCTGCAGCTCAAACACCACGTTTTATTTGTTATCTAAAGCTTTGATCTCAATAGTATAATGGGTCCACAGGGTGAAATAAACGTCAGCATAAACTCACTTTTGTTTGCTTTGTAGAGTGTGTAATTTTTCAAGCTGACATAACAAGTGTTAGAGTAAACATTCAGTCACAGCACTTGTATACGTATAGTTACTGCACACAGGTACAATGGTAAAGGTACATAGTTACCAAATTTCGTCATCGTGCAGTTGAATAGTAGAACTAGTGAATGTTATTTGTCTAACTTTCCCTTTTTCAATGACTGTACTTGCTCTCACTTTTATAAAAGCTGAGGAGGAGGCCGCGAAGAGAAAAAATCGGAAACTGAGGAACGCACTTCACTCCTACGGCCAGCGCATACCATCTTCTCTGGGGGAGGCACTGGAAGCAAGTTTCGGCATCCCTCCGCCACCTCCCTCCACCCCCCGGATGACGAATGGTTGGGGCCAGAGAAGCCGGTCACCAATGAGAAAAGAGAGCGTACCCAGAGCAAAGACTCCTGGGTCCAAGAGACAGAGCGCTTCTAAACCTGACCGCATGTAAGTATCTAACACTAGCTTCTTGCTAGTATAAGATTGAGAAATAAGGCCACAGCAAATAATCTAATGGGTTATATGAGCGCGCGCATTGATTTTCGCCTGATTTTGAAAAAAAAAAAATTGTTGCCCTCTGACAATGATAAACATGCCAAAAATGGGCAAAGACGTCTGTTGCCATGCCAGAACGTGGATGGCAGATATATAAGAAGAAATAGAGAAGACAAGACAAGGCTCTGATTTAATGTTTTGTATTTTACTTTGATGCAGTGATGTATTTTATTCCTTTTAATGTGGTGGCTATGTACATGTATATGTGATGTTCCCACCGAATCAAAACCATTTGTACAATGATTGAAAACTTATTTTCCGAAGTTGTTTCAGTGAGACATGAATGTTGTAATAGTTGGCAATAAACGTAGCACAATATAGGTATCACAGACATTAACACCAACATGTCTCACGTTAAGTCAATGACACATCACCGTTTATTGACCTCTGCAGGGCGTCAGGTGTGTCCAGAACGTCCACCAGGTGCACCAGTGTGATGTCCGGACAGCAGGTGATGTACCGGTCACCCAACACCAACCCCAGGAAACCTCCACACAACATCAAGGCTCCGTTCAAACAGGGACCTCTTCCCGACATAGAGGGTCTACAGGTACAACTAGCTATAGTTTGATTTATCTGATTATAAGATAAAACATTTTAAACCCTATCAAATATTACAGGCATAAAACAATGGTTATGGATGTATAGGGTGTATGGATGTTTGTGACCAAGAACCGCCTAGCCCTTTATAAAAATAATGCCCTAATCTCTGGTGTCATGACCACATATCATTCCTGCACTATGTCATACCATGTGCTTTTGTCCATCAGTATAAAAGACTATTTAGATCTTAGAACAAGTAGCATATATTCGAAACACCAAACATGTTGATTTATTCATAGTCTCATACAGAGGTTAATTCCTTTGTAGCAACATGTCTGTTTGTCTGTATGTTTAGTTATAGACCATGCGAAAGTTGCTATACATTTGTTGTGAAAATGAAGTTACTGGTATCTTGAAAGGTGCTGTGATTGATTGTTTGGTCCATGCAGGAGCGCCCCCTGTCGCCCAGTGAGGAACTGAAGGAGGTCACAGCTCGAGGTGTCCACCGGGTGAAGAAGGCCCTTCTCCGGGAGCCGTCACCAGAACCCGTCCGCAGCGGGGGGAGGCTGCTGAAGGCCAAGTACGAGGATATAGTTTGTGGTCAAGAGTTATCTAGTTGAATCCATTCAATATGATAGCCTAGCTCCCAATGGTTACGGTCGTAATTTCTGCAGACATGAACTTGTAAAGGTGCCTGTCAAGCTTAAGCTTGTTGAGGTGAACAGGTGAGCATTTATTCAACCCCTGCTTGGTTATCAAGTTTCACGTATTACCGATACTAAAAGAAGAATAGAAGTGCTTGAAGAAACTAAATGCAATCCAGAGTGCCTAAAGAAACTAATTATATAATACAATTTAAAATTTTTTTTTCTATTTCAGATTAAAGCCATTGTATCCAGTGGCGCAGTTACGCGGACCAACCATTCGCCAATGTAGGGGTGTGCTAGCAGGTAAGTAAAGCCTAAAGTAATTGTTGTATCCCATGAAGAAAAAGCATATCTATTTTCTCAAAGTGTCAAAGCATTGATACGTTTAAATATTTGAGACTATGTTAACAACACTTAAAGTGTAGCATGTTATCTCTGTTGTAATTAACAGCACAGTGTCTTTAATCCCTTTATCCTTTAATATATTACATCTTATAATATCTGTTGCGATGTTCATTTCTGCCCTCCCAGAGCGCTACGAACAAGAAGAGACCATGGGTAAGCTGAAGTCCCGGAAGGCGGAACTCCTGGAGCAGCTGCGCGCCAGACAGCTCATCCCGGAGTCCATCCACCTGACGTCTGAAGCGTCGGAACTCACCGAGTCAGAGGACGAGGAGGACAGCCAGGAGGACGAGGAAGCCGTCAAACAACTGTACGTCGTTTATTGTTCTCATCTATGAATTATGGACACTTTTATGACCATTTATTACTGCGTCATTAAACTGCTTTGTTCAATGCCCAGTATTCCTTGTACTGGTAGGTTTTGGCGATTGGTTGCTACCCAATGTTTTATTGTGTATTTGTGTTCTTGAGAGGATGGTTTTTTATAAACATATCTTACTTTTTTCTCCATCTTCATACTTTAAAGACCCACTGGTTTAAGTTAAAGATGATTACTTGTCATTATTGAAAGTGTGATATCAATCTACATATACAGCGTGCATGATTATTTAGCCTTACTTTCACTTTAAACTGTGTCCGAGTAACAACAATATGGCTGAGAAATCCAAAATTTGTCTGTAAACGTAACTGCTTAGCTCCTTCACCGAACATAACAATGACAGAGTTACTGTATCTCCCCTCAGGGATGACTTCCAGGATTCTGACGACGAAGATGATGGTGATGATGACCTAGTAGATGATGATGATGATGACAATGATGATGATATCGGACCCAGCGGCCTCCCTCCCACCACTCCCCCTCCCCCGTGTAGTCCCACCGACGAGGCCGCAGACTTCGACTTTCCCGTCGTCAACGGTGTTCCGCCAGATAACGAGGAAAGAACTACCGAGACAAAAACTGACGAAGAGGAGAAACCCGACAGTGGAAAAGAAAACAGGAAAAAGCCACAAAAGAAGGATCGCTGCAAAGAGAACAATGAAAAGAACGACAGAAGGAAAGACGACGATGAAGAAGGGGAGGGAGGTGGAGGCGGTAGGAAAAATTCAGGCGGTTCTAAAGTTACACGCACAGGCCCAAACTCTGTAGCGCGTAAAGAAAGTACTTCGACAAAGCCAAACAATGCTGCTAAAGACGGTGCCAAACAGACAAAGACTAGGAAACAGTCACGCGGAAAGAGGGTTCACGGTCCCGTGTCGTCCAAAGCCAGCAAGCGGAGTCCAAGAAACCCGAAAAGTGCAGGCATGGCGTGGGAGCTGAAGAGAATACGTCAACTGAAATGTGGGATATGTGGAACCTTTACCTACAATATGGTAGACTTTGGGGAAACGACGGGATACTGCGTTTGTGAGAAATGTCACGAAAACAACGGCCAACCGGTGGAACAAGATAGTCCTGTCGAAGAGCCAAGGGAAGACACTAAACGTAAGAAGAGGAGAGTGAGATTTGTAGACGACAAGCCAAATCCTGAACTAGAAGTCATGAAGGACAAGTGGAGTAGACTAGACGAGGACATCATGAAATCCTTGCAAACACTGACATCTCTCAAGTGTTACAGAGACAGTGGTGAACAGGTACAAAGACACCAGGATGACAACGAAGGAACGAAAGACAAGTGCAATATCAGTAGTGAAGAAGAGTCGGACGAGGAATATTTCTCTGCGGACTCAGATTTCGAGGATGGACCTGGGTATGAAAGAACCAAAATGACCATACCAGACCTAAAAGAGTTCAAGGACACAAAGGTTGAAGGAAGTGACAGTGGACAAGGAAGTGACGTATCGTCGGAGCAAGGCACGGTGGGAAGTGAAGCCGGAAGTGACGTAGGTCAAGTGGATGTCAAGGTGGAGTACACAGTAAAACAAAAGAAAAGACCAAAAACGTCGAACGTCCGACCGCAAGATGTAGAAATGGTAAGTACCACAAAACGAAACTTTTGGCAGGAACTATCCTTGCATTTTGTTGGATTCCTTTGAAATTGACACAACTAAGCAACATGAAATGTACTTACTGACTTTTATATTCCTTTCAGATATGTCGAGAAGTCAGAAAACTGCTGGCGAATGCATGGTAAATATTTCTTTGTCAATTCGTGTTTTATCCATTTTTAAGCTGTTGATGATTGACTTGCCTTTCTTGCCTTACTTGACTTTCTAACAGTGATATGTTTCCCGTTCTTACAGGGGACAGGAAACACTGAAGAACTTGGAAGAGACTCCGCCCAAACCCAGACGAAAGACAACCACAGCGGTAAAGGAGAAGTAAGTAATATACAGGGATAACTATATTTCAAACACTAGTGAATTCATGACAAAGTCGCGCTCTAATTTTTGTCCTGTACTATGTCTCAATACTCTTAGATGTCGCTCCTTCTTTTACCCAGTTCTCAATTTTCTCAGTCTTTCATTTCCGTTCACCTATAAGAGAGTTCATATACATAGACGAAATGGTCAAGGTTGTCATGCGTTGATATATAATATTGTTTTATTTCCAGACCTGCCCCGGTTACCCCGGCACTACGTGTAGTCCCGGCCTCGACGTTCCCTCCGCTGTGTTTCCAGATTAACGCCCTCCCCCCGCCTGGCCACCTGTTCTACTTCGCCTATGGAGCTGACATGAACCCTGACAGGTGCGTTGAGCCGTTCCTGGCGCCGGCTTAAGTTAATGCATGGACAAGTGTACTGTTCTTCGCATCACTCGCTGCCACTTCTAGTGACTACCCCCGTTGATAATATGTTGATGACTTTACAGAATGGCCACGTACCTCGGAAGTGAGATCGAGGAAAGGCGATGGGGTCTTCTGTATGGGTTCGACATCTTGTTCAACAAGAAAGGTAGGAAAATCTATAAGATAAAATCGCATGCATGCGCAATGCTTCGCAATGCCAATTATTTTTCCAGTAACATTAGATATAATATGCTGTTACCGATGGTAGAAAACCAGTACACCCAAGGATTGAAAGATATGAAAGATATAATGACACCAATTCGTAGATTTTACTCATGTCATTTAAACCTTTGTTTAGGTTTTGACAGAGCTGCCGGCAGCTTTCCCAACATTGAGTTTAACCCTCTGCGGTCTGTGGAAGGCTGTGTGTACGACATGACTCAGGACCAACTCAGTGTTCTGGACAGTCACATGGGTTATCCACTGGTATGTTCACCTCCTCACTACGTATACAGGTGTGAAACTTGGCAAAAACAAGAAGACGAGAATGACGATGATGTTGTTGAAGTTGTGCATTCCTGGGAAAGAAGGCTCAGGAGTTCTTCTTTTGTCATCCTCAACTCGAGATGCTGAAGCATGGTGCTTTTTCAGTAGCTTTTAGTACTGTTCGGCTTCGCTACGGCTCGCGTGTATATTTAGGGGTGGCAAATATGACACGGGGGTTCGCCAGGCCTCTATCCGGGTGGTTTGTATTGAGCTTCCATCTTTTGCCATCTTCTAGAATCTGTTTTATGTGTTTTTTCTGACGTCTCACTGCAATGTTGCTAGTAAAAATCACTCCATATAGTGTTACTCTTTTTAAAAAGTATTTGTAAACTGTTCGTTTTGAGTATATACTATGTTCTTATTCAGTTCATTGTTAGCAATGATGGCTTACTATCCACTGACACATAAATCTAGATCAATCTGTTGACCACGTGTGTCACTTCACTCGATGTTCCACTGATATGAAATGTTTGTTTGTTTTCCTCAGCATTACGCAAAGGCCGTCCTGCCGGTGTGGGTGTCGAACTGTGCCGACCCGACCGCCCTGGGTGTCGCGCAGTACTGTGTGCCTGCCGTCATGTACATAGCTCAGGACGAGTGGACAGGTATGGGGCTGTTTTGGTAAAACGTTGGACATATTTAGCTTAAATGTATCTTGAATATCGTCTAAGTATCAGGTCCCTTTCTCTAATTCATAACTCAACGATATGTCCCACGAATGTGTTATTCTTCAGGCAGAAATTTAGACTTCGGCTATTTTTGGTGTGTTTTATGCATTTTTAACGGGGCGTTCTTTTTTGTACTGGTGTCTTTTTTTTACGCCAGCTCAACTTCTAATTCTACCAGCTTCGAGTGACAAATTGACAAGTGGATACTGCCTGGCTAATCTGATACTGTCTTGCGGCTTAAAAATAACGTATGCGTCATGATCACTTGTGGACACGACTGTTTACTCAAGAACACAGCTTTATGGAATTGAAGCAACATTCGCTCATGTTGATTTTCCAGAGGAGACCGTCACTACGGACTGCAGCTACAGTGTTGGGCAATGTCTCCAGGGCGGGGACCTGTTAACACCTGGGTACATCAGACACCTGGAACAGCTGCAGCTGCAGGCGCCACGTGTGGCGGCATCTGTGGCTTAGAATCTACTATCGAGAAGTTGTTCTTCAGATTTTGTTGTGGGGTGGGGGTCACGTTTGCTTTATCATTGTTTACATGAAAACTAGTGAGAATCTATGACGGATGAAGACCACAAGCCAACATAACTCGTGTATTTAAGTATTACATCGCATGGGTATCTCGCGGTCCATGTTTGTACAACCAAGGACATTGGAACACATTGGTACAACATATATATTATGTTATTGATAGATAACAATCTTTGTGATTTTAAAGACAGTTCAGTTGTATTATGTGTATGTACATAAGTCTGCACATTGTTGGTGAAATCACAGGTAATCTTTTTTTCTAACCATATATAATAATCATATTTCACGTCTACACCACATATAATGTTTCTTCATAAATATTCTGGCAAAACATCTGTACATAATAATCTGTACACAATCGTCCTGTAATTTTGAAGAAAACGATTATTCTTGTGACCAACACACAAAATGGTACATAACAATCAGAGGATTAAAATAAATTGTACAACAGTTTAACAGACTCAGCATTTCATTTACATGTAGTAATATTGTTATAAAAATCGATGACATTTTAAGGTAACGTACTCTACATCATACATAACGATATTAAGTGATAACTTGAATGAGAAAAAAGGTATTAGCATTCTCTACCCACGTTACATATATGCATCTATACTTTATTTTAGGGAACCGAATCCATATGTTAGGCCATACGATTAATATACATATTTATTAATAAACAGGCAAACTAAAAGTACTAGTCCACACACATGGAATATAGAAAGTTTCCCCCTTCACAGAAAACAGGTCTATACTAGGATTGAAGAGATATTGTAAGAAAAGTATGACCATTTCTATCCATGTCCAAAAAAATTGACGCATATAATCACACAATGCGATCAATCAAGGAGCTTCTATCGGTGATAGAAGCTCCTTGGATCAATGTTACACATGAAATTCAGAAAGTTTTCTCGCACACTGAGAAAACGGTTTAACCAAGGAGCTTTTTTCATGGTTTAACAGGCCATATCGTAGCCTATTTGTATGCCAATTTTGTGTTTTTCTGCCCTGTGCTACAACACTAGTTTCAGTGTCATTGTCCACACAAGATTGCCAGGAGCTCACGGGATGAAATCACAGAAAAGGGTGACCATGTCACGCGCTCAAAATCGTTCACTCACGATTTCTAAGTAAAGCTTTGTAGTAATCTTTCCTGAATAAGTGTACTACCTCATTTATCTTAAGGTTACAAAAACGTCTTATGCGTAACTTAAACGCTTATACATATCAGGTATCTAAATGTATACACAAACCTTCAAACAACCACAGCAAGTTGTCAGCAACTACTTTTAAACATGTTTTTGTGCTTTTCTGTTTTTTTGTGCTTGTATGGATTTTAACTTTTTTTGCTTTTTTTCTGTTTTTGTGCTATTCCTTGTATGTTTTGTATTGTCAAAAATGTCTGTGATCGTGACATGGTCACCTACCTTGTAATGATAGAATCATTTACTTCTTGCTGATATGTTTGTTATATCAGATAATATATCTGACACAACTTTACTTTCTTTCAATGGGAAAGTGTACAGTACTGTACCGATTGTGAATTTTACTGCGTGACGCAACTTCTAGCCTGGAATGCCAGGGAATTTAGCCAAATAGTCAATGGCTATTGCTAGGAATCTATAAAGCTTGACAAGAATAAGAACTCCCGATATATTTTTGATGTACACCGTATTTGTCTTATCTTCAAGCAAGGCATGGTGGCCAATGGATACTGCCTGACCAATTTGATATTTATACTGTCTTTTACGGCCACCGAAAGATCTGCTTAGAGATTAGTATTTGTCACAAACTGGACTTTTCTACATCGATTTGTTTGCGACACTTATTACAAGGAAAAATACATTTTCTGACAGAATTATGCATACATGTACCTAGTGCAAGCAGTAATATCAGGCACTGTTTACATAATTCTGTTCATGAAAATGCTCTTCCCTTTTAACAAATGTCGCAAACAAAATAGTGCTTTTCTGTGATTTCAATCTCGTGAACTCCGATACGGCCAGTCAATTTAAATCACTTGTGTCGACAATAACACGGAGGTACATGGTGTCGTCTCTCACATAGGCATGGCTGCTGCTCTCCAGCTGACTGAGCGGCACGAAGAGCGGACATCCACTGGCGATGTTCATGTCACTGGTGGGCCGCTGGAAGGACGAGCTGGTCGGGTCAGGGCGGAACGCGTCGATCACGTGCTCACGGTTGTTCTGGTCCAGGAGCATGAAGGTCACCTGGAGTTGAAAGATTTTGTGTAAATTGAGAAGAATCAGGGCTTACTGCTCGTACATAATTGCCTGAGATCAAAATCAGTGAAGTATGTACTATGTAGTGTAACTATGTACAGTGTTATCTACATGTACCTTTTGACGAAACGGCCAGCGAAGCAGCCCGTCAAAGTGTCCCCTCATGACGACGAAGAACAGGCTGACATGAGTGCCCTTCCCCATCCCGTCTCCGTTCAGGTAGATGCGGGCGCACATCTTGTACCCTGTACGGCTGGTGAAGAAACATGGCGAGTAGAAACTCGCTGTCTTCCCCGTGATGGCGTCGTGGCGCTTGCGAGTGAAATCCGGTATCTTCCACGTCAGGATGCCGTCATAGCTGGTCAGTTCCAGGGTCTGGATCCGGAGGTCTTGTTCGGCCAGGGCGACGTCCTTCAGAGCGATGATCCTCTCCAGAGACCTGACCTTCCTCTCCAGGGTCTCGATGATCTCCCTGTCCTGCCGACGTTGTCGTTCGTACGCCTCCATCTGTGAGCTGCACTTCTCGATCTCACGGTTCAGGACGGCGACGATCCCTTCAAACGTGCCGACCCTGGGCTCCCAGGCGGCGAGCTTCTTGATCACGTCTTCAACTTTAGCTCGAATCTGTTCAACTCGATTTTCCAGCGCCTTAGAACTGCCTGATCCTGATGCCGTCGCCCCTTCTGTCTGGTGAGCGGAAACTTTCTGCTCCAGCTGGGCAATCTTGCTGCCTTGGTCCTTGATGTTCTTGTCCAGTCGAGGAATGGCGGTTCGCATGTTTTCGCGAGACTCCACATCCTGGTCCCGGAGTCCCTCCAGGTTTGTTGCCAGTTGGAGAATCATGGCGAGGACCATGTTGAGATGAGCCGTGAGAGTCTTTTTCTGGTGATCCCCTTGTTGTTTCCTTTCAAGCTGCAACATTCAAAATAAATAAAAGTGCCACGATAAGTGAATTCGGGCGTCATAGATATATATAATTATATGTTGTTATGTTTACCGAAGGAATTGCATTGTTTTTGCTCTGTTTCCTCTTCTTCTTTTCCAAACCAATAAGATCAATGACCTGAACCAGACGTCTCTCACCATGGTTACATCATGTTGCAATTTTATAGCAGGAGGGATTAAGACTCCTGTCTGACCATACATATGAATACGTTGAGTAATGTGAAGGTTACCATTATGCAAATGTTACCTTTCTAGTTTAAAATATTTCTCTTCGTTACATAAAAACACGCAGTTATGATGTCATTATATTATCTTACCTTTTCCTGGCACCCCACGGGTTCGAAGTGACAGGGCAGTTTCATGTTGGGACAGTCGCCGGTCTGCGGATGTTGATGGTCCTGCAGCTGTGCGCGGGTCAGGCCCTTCTTACCGCACCACTTACACCTGGCGGGGGCCACGGGGCAGGACTCCTGGTGTTTCTGGTGATCGTGGAAAACAAAATGTTATCAAAGTTTTATCAAAATATAAAAAGGTCAAACGGATTGAGAAGAAGAACGTTATTGCACGACAATGCATTGCACATGTTACAATGTATGGCAACGACTATTGAACATAGTACAAAAAAGGAAAAGGGTATAGAATGAAACTAAACATCCTAATTACTAAACATCAAAACCTAATACAGTGTACAATCAAGTAGGGCTAATCATGAGTTTCGGCATTTTATCTAATAGCAAAACAGTTGAAATGACATCATTCACACAGACGAAATATCTGAATATTGATGCAGACAAGCGATGTAGTAATGTTTGGTCGGCTTAGGCTCTTGCTAAATTACATGAAGTAATATCATGTATCAATTCTTACCGCAATGTCCTTGAAAGGGTGAGGTTCCTTACACCACTGACAGACGGCAGACCGGAACGCACAGTTGTCGGTGAGATGTTTGGAAAGCTCTCCTCTTGGAATTCTCTCTCCACAGTCCTGGTGGATACAGGCGATTTTCTCGTGCTCACACTCATCGCGATGGATCTGTAGTAAACAGAAGCACATTAGTAAACGGTATCACAGATTTCTATAGCACGCAGGTATTCACGTGAAACAACATTCACTCCTCGTATTTTTATGACAACCTTCTATTACATGAGTAATGCATACCGACTCTAAGAATTGCATGCACTTAGTGCAGCAAAGTCAAAGAAAACTTCGTATTTTCTCGTATCACCCCAGGTGCATGCAGTAACGGTACAATTAAAGTTACTCACCTTCAGGTCCTTGAGAAGCCCCTGCCATTTGCAGCCGTCGTCGTCATTGTTGCAGAACACTTCAATGTTTTGTATTTCTCTCTCAATAGCCTTGTCTGGGAAGACCTGCGGGAAAGAGGGCGAGTGACATATTACTTAACCTGGGTCACGGGGTGCTGCCTGGTGCAACACGGGCTTAAGTCGTCCCGATGTGTCGGCTTCCTTCAGACCTTCGGAGATAAAAGAATCACTTCACAAGGGAGAAAGAGTTCACAAACTAGCTAGCATTTGAACACAATTGAAGAAAATATACATGTGCTTATCACTGCAGCTGAGGCACCTGGAACCATTTATAGTTCAGACCAAGGACCTTATATAATGTACTGTTATATAGCGCCCTTGCTCAGATACACACAGATTCCCTTAAAAGTTAAATGTGCACAAAACAACATAAATGTTAGTCTGTACTTTCAGCACTGTGTCCGTGCTTTCAGCGCAGACTTTACATGTAACTCACGTCTTCAATCTTAATCTGTTGACCACATGATGGCACCTTGCATTTTCCGCCGTCGGGCCTGGAAGTACATAAGAAGTGAACAATGGATAGCAAATAATCCTCCTTCTTTTAGTAAGGGGGCAGGGAGGAGATAGACAATGTGAATTTCAGTGTCACTTTCATTTTTTTGACAATATTGACCTGAAAGCTAGTGTGGTCTAGTTTTGGGAATACACATGAGAGCACAAATATGACCTCCCTCTATATCACTAGCCGAACTCCGGATCCCCCAACCATGGTTAGGAGAAGGTCGGGAGCAAGGTCGGCTGCGTCGGCTAGTGTTCGGCCAGGTTGGTTAATGTTCGGCTAGCCTAGCCGATTATGTTTCAAAATGGTTCGGCCATGGTTGGCTGGCGATTGGCTGGTGTTCGGGAGAAGATCGCGGAGCGTCGATGCCAGTCAAATTTGACTGAAATTTAACTCAAATTCTACTCGATTAGTCAAACTGGTCAAACCTTTCCCGAACGTCAGCCAACCTCGGTCGGATGGTGTTCAGGGGAAAGTTCTGAATGTGTGACGGGGGCTTAAAGGGAGCTCTTGCACAGGTCACAATTTTTGTTGTGATCATTTTTGCACAGGGAGGTATTTTGGAACCGCAACATGTTAAACTATATTCGCACATGTTTTCTTTCTATTTTGTCAATAGGTTTGCCCTGACCCTAGCCCTGACCTTAGCAGATGTAGACAAACGTTTCTGGCAGGTTGCCAAGCGTCACCCTATTCAAACAATGCCCATGACAAAACGTTGCTATTCGATTACAAGTATTTTGCAGTCAAATAAGTAATAATATTACTTATTTGATCTTCATATTACTAATATGAAAATTCGTGCAGGTACATACTATACAGGAAGACCTTTTACTTTCAATTGAGAGTAAAACGTGTTTAGAAGGTCCTATTTAGTAAGCAGGGGCGGCGTGTTTACCTGCTGTAAATAAAGGTAATAAGGGGAGTGAAGGTCTTTAATTTCTGCTTCATGATCACTTTATGGCTCTAACATTAACGTAAATCTCTTGAAATTATTACGACTTTGCTGCAATACATACGATCCATTCAAAGCCACCCACTCTTGTTTCCAAAAGTCCAAAACAAAGGCAAACCGGTAAGAACCCCCCCCCCCCCCAAACACACACACAAAGAAAACACACACACACGCACACACAAAACTTAGCCTATCTATGATCTAGTCACACACTTTTTCGGGAAAGAAAGATATCACGTCATACATGTGCACTTTCGTATGTTTTTCAAGTGAATAACGTCTTTACCCGTGATTTATATTCACTAGGGTACAATGTACTAGACTGTCGGACACAAAGACATGTCATGTACTAAGGCAGTCGTTGGATCAATATTCTGTCGTATAGCTAATTTACCTGGTAAGGTCTTCCACACTGGATTTACAGTACCGATGTCCACATGACGTCTGTCGTGGCTCGTTCAACAGCAGACCACAGGACGAACAGCAGTACTTTGGATCCGTACCCTCCCCCTTTATCTTCACAGAAAATCCTGGCATCGTGGGAGGGACTCAACCTTCGGCGAGAAGTCCCTTTGTTGTCACAGCCACCTATCAGGGAAAATGTTGTACAGTTTGATGAATATCTACCACAACAGAAGAAGGACAAAATTCGTAAAACCTTTGTCTAGAATGCATATGCAGCTAGTGGAACAATAGGGGACGCTATTAAGGACGCCAAACAAAAGGGCTGGGGGGAATCCCTGGGACGTTAACGTTATCGGCCTTTATATTGTTGTCATGAAAACATTAGTCAATTTTAACGACATTGTGCACACAGCTATTGCCATTAAGGTTTATTCCACCAAGGAGATTGATTTTAGCCTTCTTGATTCCATGCAAGGAGATCTAATCTGGCCTTGATTTATTAAAAAAAATATTCCTGGCTAAACAAAACATTTCAATTATAATCCAACGATTATTACCATACAACAAACATCGTTGACGCTCTCCAATTAAACAGTTGCTCATTTCTTTTAAATGTTCTTTTTCCTATTCTTCTTTAAAGCGAGATTATACCTGTATTGCTAGACTGTTGAAGAACGAGGACGAGGTCCAAACAACTGACCCGAAACATCATTTGCATATCAAAACACTGTAACTAGGATACGCCCCCTCTATTCACAGACAGGACATAGGTCAACGGGTAATGCCCACTATAAACATTAGGGTAAGTCCAGACTGTGTTGTGTATGTCGAGTCCCAGGTAGGAATGCGCTTTGATATGATTTGCAACTGATTAACGAGGTTTGGACAAATAGCTGGCATACATGTGGTGGACATGTTTGCTACTGACATTAACGGGTCAGACGGATGCAGCAAGGTGTGTTTAAATTAATAGGTAAGTAAATTTCGACATCTTAAGTGTTCATAGACTATCGTATATACGTAGAGGATGGGATATGCTGGTGTGTCTGACGTCTGTGGTATATACGCACCTCAAAAATGTGGTGCTCAGGTTGGATACAACACGGTGTTTTTTAAAGGGTTACTGGTTATTGAACAGGCGATACGTGTGCACACAAATCACCATGAAAAGACGAGGAAAACGGAGATTTTTAGGGAGTATATATTGACAAGGAAAACATGATAAACTTCAAAGTGATGAGTACCGTGATAGCGTTGCAGTTCGGCGGCCATATTGCCCTCTTTCCTATAACAACATTGACTCAATTTGCTGCATTAGCGATAGAAACATAGGAGTCAAATAATTTGAAAAAATTTAATACATTTGACACCACGTTGTAGTTAACTTCTGTATAGTCTTCGAATTCGTGCCTCGGAAGTCGGAACTAGCCTGTGGGCACACTGTTTGAAAGCAAAACGGCACCAATGGAAAAACGATGGAAACGGGGACTATTTGGAGTATTTTTGACCCACGTCGTTTTTGTTCAAGACCGATGCCTCGAAACAGTTCCGGATCAGCAACAGAAACAATTGCAATGAGAATTATAGAAGCTAGATTAGTTTCGTCTCTTAGTTTTCCCTCACAAGATCGCGATTTGGCAAAGGAACAAACCTTAACGTACCCGATGACTTTTTTTTCAATCATTTTTAAAATATCCCATGGCAATACGAGTACATACATGTAGTTCAAAATACCGTTTACGTAAAATACTATAAAAAGTTGATAACGGCGAATATTAATATGCCCTATCATTCTAAAATTCGGCAGCAAACTATACTTACAAAACTTCAAAAGGCTATGATTTTTACTAGCACCCCAACCATACTGAATTCCTGAATATTCAGATAGTTGTTAGGTAAATATTATTATGATATACAATGATAACATTAAGAAATTTAATCTGGTCATTACCTACCTGGCGATGTAAGAAGAACGTCAAGTTGACGAACTGATAAATGACAAATGCGACAGACATAAGTCGCATTTTGAATAAAAAGCAAGTATGACTAAGACCTTGAGTCGTTGAAATTTTCCAGGGGAAAGGACGTGATGGAAAATTACGTATAAAGTTACATCTGAACGCGTTTTTCTCTAGAAACATTCTATTTGTCACTTAACCAAAATGTGACGTGCAGTCAACACAAAGGCTAGCACTGAGAAGCGTCTTACCTTTACTGACTCTGCCAAAGAGCTTGAAGTGAAGAAACATGACGGCCTAAAGCATTTAAATCATACATTACGTTACATTTCCTTTTTTAACGTATACCAGGAGTTTTCTAAGAAACGACGGCGGTTGTCATACGGAAACTGCGGGGGATGCCCCTCTCTCCGTAAGCTCATACAAAAATATCACGATGTCGTGTGTTGACCCGGAAACCACAACTTACGCTAGTCAATTTCTGATGGAACTATCCGATGATACTTGATAAACATATCATTTCATCACTGCAATTTGTTATATGTTTGATGTTGGAATGTTAGGGCTACTATTGAGTCTTAGAGACACCAGTCTACCCAAGACGACGTCTAGTCTTTACTCTAATGGAATCTACCAGCGTGCAAATGTGTGACAAACGTTCTAAATATAATCAGGGCGGTATGTTTACATCACAAAGGTCCCTAGTTGTACTCGTGAGGTAGGTATGCCTGACAGGTAACTATTGATGACTTTTAACATTTAGAACATGTGTCATATATGGATAGACGTATAATGGTTTTTGCTGTGAAAAATATCACCTTTGGAAACCGAAATTTACGGCGAAACCCTTTCTCTTCCGATAGTTTTCAGGTGGTAATAGTAGTTTCGACGTAAATTTACCGACTATAGTTACTATTATATTATATTTACCAGTTGAACAATCTTGATTTCTTTTCAGTCTTAACATCTCAAAGTTAACCATACAGTTACATTGCTCTATTGGCTTTTTTGTAGTCAGATCTAGTATACAATGTACCGATACTATTTTAAAGATATGTGTATAGGGCTATCTAACCGCTATTTCGTGGCATCAAAACTACGTCACAATGTAAACAATCACATGGTGTTGTTCGCAAGCGCCATGTTGTACTATGGTACTATTAAAGCTACCTTTGGCCGATTTCAACTTGTACCGGGAGGGAACATTCATGCAGTCTGCGTTAGCGATAAATAGTCAAGACACTCCTTCAGTTTCAGAGTATTGTGCTGTATTTGAAAAATCACAGCGACGACTAAAATGGTTACGTCAGGCTGGTGGATATTACTACACACAACACTGAACCCCGGACAGAGAGTGCCCTCTATAGTCTATTTTGACTGGTACCGGTGATGATGCAATACCTACAAAAACAACATAGCTCACGGTGTAGTCTGGTGAATGCAAACTTGTTTACATTTTTTTTTAAATCACAGTCAATATGGTTAACCTTATTTACCTCTCGAAACAACTGTAACTGAACATGACACACCATACGCAAAGAGGGGATTTTCGTGGATTTTTTTTAAAGTTCTGTTTCCTTGAGGAACTGTTTATGGCAGCCATTGACATGTTCACTGGGCCTGGGGGTTAACCAACTATTCACTGTTTTACACGAGCGTTGAATGTCACTGGCTGCATACATGGATCTCCTTCTGTTATGATCGTTAGGTTCATATTCATAGTGTATTTGCTTTCCACATACGTCAGATTCAGAAACATTTTGAGACACAACATGTTGTCTTTTGTAAAAAAAAGTTCCTGTGTCGACGTCTTTGCTGCATGCGCTGAGTTCTGGTGGGCGCTACCTTTCATGCTTTTTGGTGGGCGGGGGCACTGTGTGGGGGCTAGATTACCCAGGACCTACTGTGACCCCTCCAAGACTCAGTGAGAATTACGTTATGGTAAAGATGAATCACAGTTGTGAATCACACCAGTCGTCATTCTAGGTAGGACATTAGTAAATGTCATGTGTTCAAAGCTGTATTTGACTTGGCGACCACAAGTAATGTTTTCATTGAAACTTGATATGGGACCAATGCCTAAGACCCCATTAACCAACCAAGGACACAGTGACCTTAGAAAGACAGGTGCACTGACCTTACGGTGGCTGTGCACGTCTGACTGTCGTGGTAGACATTGCTGAGACCACCAGTCAGGACACTGTGGGCGCAATTTTCAACTGCGTCACAAGCGCACTATGTCTATGCATATAATAAGTGACGAAGGGGATTCCCCCTTCGTCACATGCATAGACTATAGTGCGCTTGTGACGCAGTCGAAAATTGCGTCCTGACTGGTGGTCTCAGTACAACACGACCGTTCCATTTCGAAGAGGGAAGGGGAATGCCGCCCACACCCGGAAGAAATAATGACACAAGCTTTTACTTGACAGGTAAACGGCCGTATCCCTACCGTTCACATTAAATTTGCCAAGCAGCGTAATTTTGTCATTTGCATGTACAATGTATTACATAAAAAGGGTACAGTTTGTTGAGCTAGAGTCGTGATTGTTGCTTCAAGCGGACGTTGTAGCTAATGTTGGTTGAAACCTTACACTGCATCCACAACCAACTATTGCGTGATCTTCCATTACCAACTATTATCCACTATGAATATTTAACAGTCCATAGCCATGTGGCCTTTTCTACTAGTGGTGATCTGAGGTTTGTACCGGTTAGGATATATCAAAACCAGTAAAACATTTCACAGATCTAGAGTGATCCCCACGCAACAAGTTCATACCGATTGTCGACAATCTATATCCTTCCATAGGGTCAATACAACTCACACATGACACTATCTATTTCGGATATGACGAATACTATGAACAAAACTGAAATGATATCCGATAAGCACGATTTTACGAGTAAAATACTTTCAGAACTAAATAAATAGGATACATAATCAGGTCTAAAATCGTACCTCAGTACTTTGACGTTCCTTGTAGCTATCAGAAAAGGTGGCACAAAAAGCTACTCATTGCCAAATTTTAGGCTATATACAATTTCTGGTCAATCATATGAAGCCACGTATATGCTGAGTCATATTATGTTTTTAGGCTTCTAGAACATTCAATGTTTGACATTGTCAATGACTGCTATGTCATGATGACGTCAACTAAACAGGGTAGGGGCAATTGAACGTAGCAATTGCATTTATGATCTATAGAGACCATATTCTTTATAATATATATCATCCCATCTAGCCTGACTAATTGTGCTCCTGGTGGCCGCCCGCCCCTACGGTTGCAGACTTGCAGCCCCCCAAAAGTGGGTGGGGGTTAACTCCCGGCCGAGAGTGCTTCTGTAAACGCAGGCTACCATCCTATCATGTCAACACATTTTATACACTGTATACATGTAAGGTATAGCTAACATAGCAACGTATTTCCCGTCCAACAGCCTGCTGAGTTCCAAATAGGGGAACACCCTCGCTAAGATCGACGGGAGTTGTGTATTTAACCGCGCGAGGCGGACGACTCCACGCTTGAGGGTCAAGGGTTGCCTGTCTGACGCTGTTGGTAGCCGCCCGCCCATATCTTTCTGCCAAGACCCTGGTTGCTCTATCGTCGATACAAGTCCTTCGAATGGGTTAAGGAAAAACAGGAAGGATTAACAGCTATAGTGGTAGGAAAATCCTTAATATGCTTCCATTCTAACATTAACGATCATTGTGGTTACAATCACTGCACCCTATGACGCACACTAGATAAATTTCACCTGTTTACTATGCACCATATTTATGTAGTTGTTTCTGCACCAGTCATGTGTTTGTTGACCTTCTCGTTCTTGAGTCTGGCATAAGTATTTGTGAACAATGTTAAACTATGCAGCTGAAATATCCTGTGACGTTATGATTATTATTGTCTGTCTAGACATACTACAAAAGATGTACACGTGGCAGGGCGTACGTCCAATGACTCAAAAAACAAATTAGGTATATGTATTTGCACTTCTGTCACAATGTGGCACCTGTCTAGAAAATTTAAACCTACTATTATTTACTTAAAATGCATTTAATGCAGTAATGCATACAGTTTCCATCGTTTTTCCGGTTACATGCATGTACTGGGTGTACTAATTTGCATACGCAGTCCTGCTTCCGCCGTGAACTTCCCATGAATATTTAATGTGTTGATCTGTGTGGAAGGCACATGACTAGTCTCATGTATATACAAAATGTGTGTCAGGGGATTCCCCTGACCAACACAAGATCGACGGCGCCATTTTGTGGCGCAGTAGGAAAAGTATAATTTCTACGAAACTAGTACTGCCTTTGGCAGAGTAAATTCTACGGACATAACTTAGCTAGTTTAGTTATGACCCTGATTGCAAAATTTAGGGGTATAAAAGACACAAAGCTTGAGAGAATTAACTAGATGCATTATTTCAATTCTATGAAGTCTCCAGCTAATGATTCAATGACGTTCACAGAAAGCCTACCAACATCAGTACTAAATCGCCCTGTTTTTACAAGTAAGTTTACAATACAGCTAATCTGAAGAAGTGACAAAAAAATCTGGCACTGGTGCAGGGGAAACATGATGACTTTCAAAGTGATGAGCACCGTGATAGCGTTGCAGTTCGGTGGTCATGTTGCCTTCGTTCCCTTAACAACATTGACTCAATTTGCTGTATTATAAAATTGAAGAATAAATTGAAAAACAGTTGTGGGAGGCACAAATACTCCCCGAGCCGAGCTAACGTGATAAACACGCGCGACTGGAGGCAGAAAAAATGAATTTCGGTATCATATCAATAGATGTCAGCATCTATTCCACGCAAAACCTTGTCACACACTTAACTATCCGTCAGATACCTCGGCAGTACTTGACTTGTCAAATCTTCGCGCAATACTGTTTATCGTTAATATTGACACATTAGCGATAATAAAAGATAAAAATTATCAACAAATGGCATGGCTCTAATTCCAATGGAGCCAAAACAAACATGTAGAACAACAAAGAACAAATACTTTGAAAATATGCTGTTTTCCGTAAATTTAATGATAAAAGGATCATGTCTTTGGGGTTGAGTATATCAAGCAGGTTTCTGTCTCATTATTTTTTTTTGGAAAAAGGTTCTAAGACATTCTAACTATACAAAAGCCACGTCTAGACCGAGAGTCTTATTAGCCATCACAGAGTATGTCAAGTGCCGTCGCATGCACCAGTCTATGGCCTCCATATGGAAATGTATCTTAAGCTTATTCAAATAAATGCGTAATTATGATAATTTATGTGGCATACTTATATATCCTACACGTACCTGATGATATATCTGGATACTTTAGCCGACGTACATGTAAATTCTGCTGTGTAGTCGAAAACACTGTAGCAGACAAATAATGTAAACTATGAACTCCCAGGATGCATGGCTGTAAACTACTAGCATGTAACGTTATAGACTCCAATTTTGTAGTACCTGGTACGTGCTATTCGTGGCTTACGTGCCGTGAACTTCCTGTGGCATTGTAATGTGGCACGTACGTTTTATTGGCATCTGCTTGAAACCAGCTGTATATTTACCATGAAAATGAAGGTATCTGTCTGTCTTTATGTTTGTGTTCTGCTTGTGTTTCCACACACAGTATTTCCTTTCTGGATTGTGACGGTACAAGTGCTAGTATGTTTGTAAGTCTTGGGAAGGCGAAGGGCATGCAGGGTCAAATGTGATCTACCTGGCGGCTGTCGTTCACATCTGGTTTTTGTACCTTTTGTCACATGAAGATGCCAGTTAGGGTCTTTAGGATTTTTGGGTGGCAGGTAGTTTTTGATATCAGGAAAAAGATAATTTGCATAATTAAAGGGGACATTCCATAATTCCTCTGTTTTACATAATAAGACTTCGTGACACGTAACACATGTAATGTATGATTAACGATAATCGACATTAATGGATAACGACATTAACGATACAACAAGGAGGTTAGAGAGAGAGAACATGACCTCAATGTTTATATAACGTTATATTGGAACCGCAGAAATACAGATAGACAGGCATGCAGAGTAGACACCTCCCCCCCCCCCCCGCCAAAATCACTCACTTTAGGTAAAGTAGCTATATAACCTACTACCAAACAATCATACACCGTAGTAAACACATCCAATCCAACATCGGATAGCTGAGAAACAGAGGGGCGGAAGCCGTGCCCAGAAACAGTACGTTGGGAGCTGTGTCCCAGTTCATGAATACGTGGCTGGCTGCACAGAGGCAGCCATGTTGTTTGAACAGCTCAAGCATGTAAGAGCTAGTAGTAGGGGCGTAAATTTGCACGTCGTGGTTCTGCCACTAAATGTATTCTGTTAGAAATACTAAGCATGTGCATGGCAGCCGCATTGCATTCACTACTCAAGTAAGCAATGCATTATGATCAGGAAAGCTGTCTATACTGGTCCTACTCACTAGTAGTAGCATTCAAACATCCATTGAGAACTAGTACTGTGCCATTCCAAATTCCACGGGTGCACTGGCCTGTGTCTAAACACTGAAATCGCGCTGTATATGTAGACTTACCGTCACAAGTTATGATTACACATGTGTAGTACCTATTCCGGATGTTGGGGATGGCGTAAGCTGACGGTGGGCGATGTCGTGGCCATATGGCAAGCTTTTTTACCATTCCGTGAGCGGCCTGTGTCTTTACTAAAACATTTTGCCACGGGCACTAGCTTGCATATAATTTGGAGTCTCAATGTTGAACCATCGGGTAGACGTGAAAGCCTTTCCTACCCTCCCCCTTATAATTTTGTTTCTAAAAGCTATCATTATGTCTATACTTACAACTAATCGAGTTCCATTCTAAAATCAAAGACCAATAAATTTTAAAAGTTACACTCATCCCCGCGTGACAAAGTGAGCTCGCCCTCGGAAAGGGGAATCCCCATTACGTCATGGCATCATGACATCATGAGGAAATACCATTACACAGGAGTGTTCATGTTTGGTTTTGTTTCGATTTCGAAACTAGTATTAAACCTTAGAGGGCTGTATAGTGAACAGAAAAGGGGGGTGATGAGGTTAATTCCATTTCTGAATATAACTTGATATGTCTTCAAATAAGTAACTCATATTATTCCAACTTCACAGGGGCGGTTTTCTTGTTTAAACTCTGTCAAAGAAAGTAACAAGAGGTCGTAGATCACATACCTCCATGAAATATTTGGGGCTTTTGTAACTTTTGTGCTCTAATTAGGGCTGAGACTAGCATAATCTATGTTAAATGATGGACTTTTCAACGATATGAAATTCGTACATGTCATTGTCCAAAGCGCTTGAAGCATTGTGCTGTTTTTAAGTATTTCACATACTAAGCTGCACGCTGTGATTAAAGTTTTCTGGAACTTATTTTGTTATAATTTTGAGACTTAAAGTGATGAAAATTATTGTTAGGCTAAAAGTGACAATATAGCAAAAAGGACCCGCCCCCCCCATACACACACGTGACACACACCAAAAACAATACATCCACTTTTAATGGAGGAAATAAAGAACTTAAACAGGTCTGGATATGTTAAGTACGAAAATCTGTGTCACAGGAAATTTTTAGAAATAACAAATGTAGAAATGACAGAATTTAACCTAAAAGTTTGCAAACAGCATTGCTGAAATTCAGAAATGTTTGATTTTTAAGGACTTCCCATAATTACCGTGACGATAGATGCTGCGATTTAAATATTTTTCTCTCGTTAGATCTAGAATTCACTCGTCGTCTTCGTGCCTAGTCATTTCCTTTGAAATCGAAAGATAACGTATATATAGCTTAAATATCTCACATGTACACTTGGCTATCTCCATAACACCCCTTCAACAAACGCGCGACCTTGCTAAAATATTCTAATTCAAGATAGTTGTAGCCTTACCTTGTCACGGACTGGCAACTCTTTGAATTTGGAAATGTGAATTTCAAATGATAGCGATGTAGACACAAATAAAACTGACGGTCCAGTTCGTTGTGACCTTAAGTCCATACTCCACACACAACAAAACTGAAACCGTTTGAATGTTTATTTAGTTACCAGAGAATGTGGGAAATACTGATAAGACGCCATTCTACTGGTGTTTTGAATACAACGTAATTTCAGATAGTCGTGGATTGGGACTTATTAGCAAACGCATGAAAAACACACACCAATCTATTTCCACCTGTATGACTATTGTAATTAGGGTAATATGTAAATGAACATGTGGAAAGACTTGTTATAGAGAGCTATGCACATATTAGCGCATTAGGTAGGCCCTGATTGGTTGGTGAGAGCAACCAATCAGATGAAGGACTATTGATAGCATAGTCGGTGACCGAGGACCGAGTACGTGTACATGTGTAGTTGTAGCTCTATAGATTAGTATTGTATAACTGATGGTACCTCATCTGTATAATCCTAGACCATTGTTAACTCTGTGTAACTAAGTGCTAAACTCCCATATGGTCTAGTGGTTAGGATTTGGCGCTCTCACCGCCAAGGCCCGGGTTCGATTCCCGGTGTGGGAACCACTGTTATTACACACCATATAATTACTTGCAACAGCGACATAATCATAGATTCAAGGATAGAATATGATAAATTATTACGTACAGGGCAGATTAGCAGAGAGTTAGAATTAATGAAATGGACAACAATATCAGTAGACCATAGTGTGGTCCACATAATGACCCAGTGTGAGTGAAACACATGCTGACTAAAGATTAAAACCATATATCCTTATGTCTGTATTTATGACGAAAAATCAAATCTAACTCCATACCTTAAAACTCGAAATGAAACGGATCCTTTGTGTAGACCTTCTGTGCTTTACTGCAGTTTTATTAAGCATTTCTCTCTTTATATATACATGTACAATCAGTGTTTCCATGTGCAAATATGTTATTTCTGCCCCATAAATTGTTTTAGAAAAAAATCGGGATTTTTAAAGACAGAAACGTTCATAGGAATCCTACCTTACCACACCGAAATTTGGGGGAAGATGAATAGGCTTTCAGCTAGTCACGACACGCAATTCATGTCAATACTAGTCTATAGCACAAATAGGGAAGTAATCACTTCCCCCTTATATCATTTCCGCGCGGCCTATTCAAAATTTTCTTATAGTCGCTAAAAGAGTATATATAACTAGTGGCCTACTCGTCCATGTTGGGTTGATTTTTATCTTACACCAGGGCCGCTGTTACGAATCAGCTAAGTTTGAATAGATGTATGAAAACCCCACAAATAGTATTTTTCCAACCAAGATAACCAATTTATTGTTAAATGATTAAAATGTATTGTAGTATCATATTCCTTTAATATACTCCCAAACAGACTGGAAGTAAGGACTGAGGAATAATCCTATTCAGGTAACAAAAGTTAAGATACATTAAAAATATCATAACTGTATATGCTACGTTAACAATCCGCATTATTTTATATGCTATAGCGGAAAATATATTAAAACTAATGTCAATCTTGCCATAAAGGTAACCTTAGAAACCCCTACCTGGCAACGAAGGGCCCTTGCAGCAGCGGTCTAAGTGAGTGCTTCTGTTTACCTTTGGCGGAGTTTAAGTTAAGTTTGTTTTGTTTTGGTGGTGACTATGGCGATGACCATTAACTGCCATTGTATTGTCTTCAACCAACCGTCGTTAATTAATATTGGCACGAAGTATGTACAGCTCACAAGACACAATAAACGTCAACGATACTCATTTTCATTCCAGGTGTCAAAGCATTATATTATTTACATTTGACTATTGTCTTATTTTTTTTGCCTAATATCACAAAACACAAAAATACATAAACTACTAGTATGTATGTATGTGACATGATACGCTCACTTTCAACGGAATTCAGACCTTACACCTTTGCTCTTTTCGCTTCCTTAGATTGTGAATATTTGATTTAAATGAAGAAGTCACTTTCCTCCCAGCCTTGGTTCTTGCATAATGAGCGGTAAAACAAACTTACGACACTGTCGACATTTGAAATAGATAATTGATATAGGTCTACAGCACTGCAATTATCCAGTTCACCTTCTGGATTCCGCATGGTGAGATCCACTGAGGAAGCTTGTGGTGATTCATCCAATGAAAGCAAATGTCGACACAGAACACACGTTCAGACTTAGACCAGTTTCACCAGACCGGTCACATGTATTCTCACCACCAACGTTTATACGTTTCTGCAGGCACACTGGGGAACAAGAAACAAAACCATGTCCTTTCCGTATACGTGTAGCTAATCCCAAAGTCTGTGTATAAAAACGTTGACGCAACGCCGACACCCGCAAAAACATTTCGTATAGTGCAAGCAATCGTGACAACTGTGTACGAACATGAACAACAACAAGTCGGTCATTATGTCGTCATGACAACAAGTGACGTCAATTGATGGGGATTCCCCTCCTGGGCGGAGCCTAACACACTGGCGTCGGTCACAAGACTCGCAGCTGAAAACAAACATGTTTACATTTGAAGAATAGCGAATGTTCTAGACAAGGGACAAGGGCTGCAAGTGAAACATATGGCCATGGATATCAACTGCTTAAATGAAGTAAAAATCTACACTGTAGGATACGTACGAGTATGTACATTTAATGTGCACACATTTTTTGTTCTGTTCACTTGGAAATAGACATCGACAAGGCACCATGGAGGTATAAAATTTTATACCTCCATGAAGGCACCAAGTGGTTATTGACCGAATTTGTACCGAATTCTACGATGCATAACCAATCATGAACGTCTGTTGGAGGCTAAACCATGTCCGGTTTCCCTTTAATATGCCATCCGTTTTCAATCTCATCTCAACTTGTGAAATGGAATACAAGAGTTGGTAAAGACAGATCTTTTTGAATTCACAGTACTGAAAACCAAACCTTAGACTCAGGATCAAGCTAAGGCTAAGTGAGGCAATGTCACCTTTGGCGCTACTCTACCCTGTTCGGATTCAGGGTCATTGCTGGAATAAGAAAATGCGCCAACCTCAGTGGGTAGTTGTGCACGCCTGCTTCAGGTTGATCACGTGACCCCCAACAGTCAAGCACATTTAACTGTTCTTAAATTTAGGGTGTGTTTTTTTGATGAATTCTTGCTGCGTCATCATCTGAAAAAAAAACTGAAAAAAATATGCAGGTGGATAGCATAAGGGGATTCCCCTGCACACTGCGCATGCGTGTGACAAACTTCAGTCCATTTATGGAGACGTTGTTCCACGTGAATGCGCAGAACTGTCAATTATTTATGAATGATTTTTTTGCGAACCCAACAAGTGCCAAAATGCTTGGTTTTCCTGTTAAATTTACCCTAAATTAGCACTGATACAACCGTTTGTGCTATATACACTTCAAACGACAAAAGAAACAATGTCGTTGTCGACGATGTATGTATCTGTATCTGTATAGCCGGTATAACCGCCTTTCGGCGTAACACACCAGCTTCGCAGGCACGCGGCGCGGCGGCAGCTGGCTACATTACACCGATCGACTTGTTACACCTAACCCTTCTAGCTCTAGACATTGTTTAAAGCTATCTATTGACAATGCCCCTACTGTACTTGGTGACAGTGAGTTCCACTCTGCGATAGTTCTAGGAAAGAATGAATTCTTGAACACCTCAATCCTTGGTTGATAACTCTGGTACTTGAATGCGTGGC